TCCCACATTTTGAAGAAACGGCCGTCCAATGCATCCGGATTTTTCATGGTGGTCTAGCTTCAATTGACTCATAATTTCAACTATTGAAATTGGTGAGATCTCCACAAAACCCCTTCTGATAAAATGTTTTTGTTACAATAAATAAGTCATAGAGGTGAAAAAATAAATAAGGTGATATGATAAGTATTTATGAATAAAATAATGGAAATATAAGACATAAGGGGAATGCAGTAATATATATATATATATATATATATATATATATATATATATATATACGATTGTACAGTTTAATAATAAATTCGTTGAAAGGAGATCCGTTTGCCGAACTTCGTGTTTTTAATGTTTAAACAATAATTATGTGTCAATTTGAAGTAAATCCAACGTTTCACTAGGCAATCTGACTCAAGCTTTTACAAGGAAATATTAGTCCAATTTTATTGATTGCTTTTTTGTGATTAATTTATTAGAATTAGTTTTTTTAAAATAATTTAATAGTTGAATTTATGGGTTAATTGAAGCTAGACCATCATGGAAAACCTGGAATTACTAGATGACTGTTTCATCCTATAGTATAGGATTCCTCGAATAGAAACTATTTTACTCTATGCTTTGAACATTGAATATTCGCAAAATGTTTTATCAAGTGACTTTTTTATTTTAAAAATATAAACAAAATATCTATTAATAATTTATTATTATAGATTTCTGTGATTACTTTCACATTGTATATGTATTAAATGATCTAAAGTTATAAGCGATGATTACGTCTAAGCAATAATAAATCATTATTTTATTGTATGATTGTTTATTTGTTTATTATTCTATTGAATTTTTTTCAGTTTGGTAATCAAGCTCCCCTTGGAGTCCCTCCGAGGGCGACTGACGTTCCCAAGCCCGGATAAAGGAGGGGGGTTAGGCATGGGGTTAGCGACTCCATTTATTAGAAAACTAACTCGCTAAAAAACGCTAACCAGAAAAAATTATTCAAAAATCAAAAATACAATGAAAATTTAGCTTTTATACTATTTGAAAACTTATCGACCGAATGTGTTTACAATTCACTGTTAGTATTCATACTAAAACTTGATTCGTTTATCTATTTTGTGAATATTAATATAATAACATACAATAATTTTTGAGATTTGTTGCGATATATGTACTAATTTCACTGCGAGTGACTGTTTAATAATATATTTGAAGGCTTATATCTGGAGGTAATATCGAGAAATTCATTTTAGGAGTTTGTATATCAAAGGAGATTGACTATATTTATTCTTGTATATTAGCAAAGACGACATAAAAATTCATATCAATAATAATAGGTTTTTTAACCTCTTTCTAGTAATTTTACATAATGTTAAGTTTTCTGAACGAATGGAATATTGAATAAGAAAAAGAGAATTCAGTGAAGAAAAATTTCTTTTCGACGAAATCATTTATTTATGCTGCGCATTCGTATTTATAGTTATATGGAAAATATATGTCAATAGAAGGATAGTAAGGATTACGTCATAAATCGATTCGAGACTCTTATTATTAAATGAGGTTACGCGATAATCAAGGGGTAAGGATGAAAATAATCTACAAGTCAGCTAATAGTCCAAATGACAGATATGAAGAAAAACGACAGACATAAAAGTCAGAATAATATAAACTGAATAATAATCAAGCAAACTTGCTTAAAGGTAATAATAGTAACTGATTGGAGTTTAAAATGGCAGAACAATAATTTTAAAAAGTCAATAATAGTCAGATGAAAATGAAGAAAAAAAGGGAAAAGACACGAAACATGCCAGTAAAGGGGATTAGGGTCAAGAAAGGATGAGAGGTTAAATGAATTGTTTCTCCATGCAAAGTTTGGGCTTGAGTTTTCGTGGATTGTCAATACCCTAGCAGTGCATAAAATATTGATTCGACATATCTTCAATTCAATTTTTTCGACTATGTAGATTACTTTAAAGAAGACTCCTTTGGAGCTATGGGTCCACAATTGATTCAATACGCCTGCATAGGACTAGTAATTGTTTTACACTCTGCTTTCAATTTGATAATTATCTGATCCGTAGATTATTTTTATCCTTACATTCCTTCATTATCCCTTAATTATTGCGCAGCCTCATTTAATAATAAGAGTCTCGAATCAATTTATAATGCAATCTTTTCTATCCTTCTATAGACATATTTTCCATATAATTATAAATACGAATGCGCAGCATAAGTAAATGATTTTGTCGAAAAGAAATTTTTCTTTAATGAATTCTCTTTTTCCTATTTAATGATACTATGGGTTATTTTAAATGGAATATTAAACAAAATGGGGATCGTGGATATGCACTTCTGAGGAGTCTCATACTAAAACGAAACAACCTTCCAGTGCTTCCAGGTTTCCCATCGTGGTCTAACTTCAATTGATTCATGATTTTAACTCTTGAAAATGAGGATAATCAATCGATCAAATTATTTTCAAAAACCCACTTAATTTTTAATTTAATCAATTTACAATTTGTTGCAGTAAAACAATTTTCAAAGTTTATGAAGACAAGCATAAGAAGAATGAACAACAATTGAATATAACTAGAAAGAAAGGCCAGTGACATAGCGGGTTGGAGAATGTTGGGCGGGAGTAACAGGCGTAAGTAAGTAAGTCAGTACTTAAGCTTTAAATAAATTACATGATATCTTAATTTACTAAATTTTTTGCTTGAATTTTGCTCAAAACTACAACGAGTAGGTTCATTCGTAAGCAGTTATGAATTAATACTAATTGTAAATATTTTCAACATTTTCTTCATAATTTTAACTTCTTCAATAAATTTATCAAAAAGAGACAAGATTGAAAACAACTTTATGGATGATAAAAAAGATAAAAGAAAAACTGTTGTTTTTTTATTTATTTAGTAATCAATAAACTGCAGTTGATTAAATTTCATCTACTTTGTTCGGGTTATTTGACTATGTTTGTATTTAGGTTTCCAGCAAAACGACAACTAAATTGTATTTTTTTGTTTTATAATAAATTTCATTTGTATTACGTGACTTAGTTTTATTATGGAATTGTAAATTTTCAAATTACGGTTGCTTCCGATGTATTTGCAGATCAACCACTGAATAAGTGTTTAATACAGGCATGTTCTCAATTTTATTCATCCACCATAGTTTTTATTACTACTATGAATAACATTGTCTGACAAGGAATATCTATACGCCTAGCCTATACAAAGAATCCTTATCAGTAAATATAAGAGAAAGTATTTTTAAAACAGTAGGTCAATAATCCAAATGTTTAACTGAACGTTGATTTCAATTTTTATAACTTTCTTTTCTTGAACTAAAACAATAACACCCGCTTTCACATTACTCTTTTGACTCAATTAATTTTTCCAATTTTACAGAAAGAAACTATCATCATTACCAAGTAGCTTATGTTAAACTAAATCGATAGTATTTGTATGCTTAGATGAGATTATAAATTATAGTTGCGCTGAGATAGTGATATGCATAATAAAGGACAACATAAGCGAAATGTTATAAATTAATGTCTCAGTTAAATGAAACGAAATATATGGCCGGTAACCCATGGTGAATAATTCGATTACTACTTCCATTCAAATGATTAAAATCTGTATAATTCGTAAACTTCATGTTTATGCAAAGTAAAGTCCTGGATTCCACTGCTAGCTACTATCTATCTTTGCTTATAAAGCTTGTGACCTAAAGCAATATCGAGACAGACGCACGGGATGTACATATGCCAACAAGAGACTGATCAATTGCAGTCCTAAATAAGAAAAGAAAGATACAAGTAAACAACACCAAGTGAATTGGAAATTTCACTCCATTGCACAATCAAGTAGCTATCAAGACTCAGTAGCTAAATGGATAACGCGATATCGTTTGAAGTAGACATTACTGGGTTCGAGTCCCAAAGTGGACATCAACTCCGTGATGTAGATATATCCAGCCGATGAATCCCAGCCAGGACGAAACACGCAGCAAATTAAATTCCACTACTAGTCCCTATCCATCTTTGCTTTCTTTACAGAATAACATCCGATGTAAAATCATTGAAAAAGCCTATTTATCCATTGAATTCAATATATATATATATATATATATATATATATATATATATATATAAGCGTAATAAGATACTTTTTTTTCAAAGAACAAAAAAAAAATTGAAAACAACTAATTCATATTCAAATGATTCATGAAAGTTTTAATTATCTTCATATTAAATATTAAATAAACATTCAACTACCGTTCATTAGTTCCTTTTTTCTCATTTCAAAATATGCAAATATTTACACATTAAAGATTCCCATTTTGAAAATTAAAACAACACATGTAAGTGAACAATTTTTTTTCAACTAGATTGTCGTCAGGCTTTACTCTAATATACATGAATATTTATACGAAAATTTAAAACCAATCAAAGTAATTTAAGTCAATAATCACGATGAAATATAATAAGTCACCACACATAATAGGTAAATGTACAAATTAATAGTTGGAAGAAAGGTATACTGATAGCAATAAGAATAATAAAGTACGATAACAAAAGTCATATCAATAGTTATACATTGAAAATAAAAGGTCAAACGTAGGTAAATAGAATTAGAATAATCATCACAAAACATTGAAACCATTACGTAATAAGAAGTGTGTAAATAATTAGATAATGAAGAATACAAATAGAAAGAGGTGGAAAATTACAAACAAATACTGGATGTGAAAATAAGGTTAATGATAACAAAAATAAAAAAGTCATTTGTTAAGTTATAACTGGTCACGGAATAGATAGGGGTGTGAGTGTGTGACATATTTCTTCTGCACACATAAATTAGGGTTTATATATACGAATTCCTATAGTTTCAGTCATATATAGGAGATAGATATGAACTCCATTATGAAATAATAGAGGTGTAAAATAGATCATTTGAAATCATTCCAATTTATCTACATATTCATGATTAAGACTAGTTTCATAATTATTATCATTTAATAGGTATAATTTTAACTGTATAGCAATGTTTTGTTATAGGATGAATTAATTTATATATGCCTGATAATAATGTTTGTTTTAATAATTTCCTATTCAAATAACGTTTATTTTGATATTGATATTTATGATTTAAAGTTCTTTGTTTTAATGTTTTTTTATTTAGATAAGAAGTTATTTTATTGTTTGATAAACTTAAATCTAATGCTTTTTCATCATTTTTATTAATATAATGAATAAATTGTGTTTTGTTTAATTCATTCATTTGTTTATAATTATTTTCAATTAAATTATTTATACTACTTATATTGTTATTCAATATAAATTTATTTAAATTTATTATTTGATTTGTTTCATCTATATTAAATTGTTTATTATAATAATATTTACATGAATTTATTGAATGATAACCATATTGATGTAATATTTTTAATATATTTGGTGCCATTTTAAATATTGGTATAGGTATTGGGACAATTAAGAATTGATTTAAATTATTTATATTATTATTAGTAGTAATTATATGATTGTTATTATTATTACTGTTATTATTATTATTACTTGAAGACATTAATAATTGATTTATTATATTCATCATTTCTATATTACGATCATTTAATTGATTATTATATTCCAGATTAGAATTGATTATTTCATTATTTAAATTATTAATTGTTATAGGATTCATATTTATATCATGATTAGTATTGATATTAATAGTAGCATTTGTATTAGTTATAGTTGTACTAGGAATATGATTTCTATTTATGATATTTCTAAATTGATTCATATCAAAATGTTGTATAATATAATCATATAATGGAATAGACATATTATTATTATCTTTATTTATGTAATTGTTCAATTGTGAATATAGTTGTAAATTTGAAAATAAATCATAATTTGACCCTTGAGAATTATTTGCAGAAGATTTATGAACATTATCTTGTAATGAATGATGCTGTTGATCAGAATACTGATTATATAATCGTTTCTTTGATGATAATTTATTATTATTAGTAGTAGTAATATTGGTAATAGTAGCTGGTGAGCTGCAACTAGCATTTGAATTATAAGGTAAAGTTGATTGTCTTTTACAATCGAGTTTTTCTTTATCCGAATCTGATGTATATGGTAATCGACCAGAAATTACCATAGCAGGTATGTCATTTAATAATTGACTATTTAATTGATTGCGACGATTTTTAAAATAAGCACGACGTAAATTATCAAAACATACTTGTGAACAACAAACTGGTACAGGTTTTATTTTATATTTAGTGTTGTTTAAATTAACAGATTGATAAAATGAATTATATTTATAAGTTTGAAGATTTGGTTTCTGACACCAAGCACATAAATCTGTAACACATGAAGATGATGGTGAGAATGATGAGTTGATGAGAGAGTTGTGACATAAAGTAGTTGGTGAATTACACTCATTGATAAGACTTTCATTATTTTCAGTAAGATTATTTTTGTCATCAGTAGTTGAATTCATTGTCCTTTTTGTAAAAGATTGTCTACCACTGATGATGTAGTGTGGTGAATGTTTCAAATATAATCAGTAACGTTTACAACAATTATGCTTTAGCGTAAGACCTTGGAAAGGTTTCTGATCTTCGTATAACTGATAAAATAGTGAACAGTTTATTCTGAGCTAATATAACCTACTTTTATAGTGTATGTAGTAGGAATTAGTTAGGATATCAGATTTCTTATAGGTATATGGTTAACCCTTAATTTCATTGGATAAAATATTACATACGTTATTCTAACTCACATACTCATTATATTTCTCAAATTTCAATGAGACAACATTTTGTCTCAAATTCCTTTAGTCCAATATGGGTTTAATGGTATATATATATGATAATGAAAGATGTAAATGTAAATGGATATAATTGCACAACGATAATAACCTAGAAAGTATCACGTTTCATGTAAAGTAACCTTCTCTCTCATTGTCAATTATTCGCTTATTAGTTCAGCGAGTTTAAGGGATTGTAATTCATATTTGACTGTTACCTCTCTATTTAACTCTTTTTCTAATTAACAACTGAAAATTTCTACACTGATATTCATCAGCGGAAAAGACAATAAGCGAATGATTTATCCAATATAATGATATAACGTATCAGTGACCTATATTTAGTCATGTACACTATTTACTACTCATCTGCACACAAAAAATAGCTTAAGGTAATAATCTCACCAATGAAGTTAACCAAGTGGGAGATTTTTCGGTGATTCATAGGATTTGACTGGTTTTTAAACTGGTGAGTCAACTATACAGTAATCATCGCTAGAACTGGCCATGTTGAACGAATGGATTGTGGATCTCAGTGAAATATAAGACTTAATACGTTTTGCTTTCGAATTATCATTTGGATGTACCTGGATCTAAGTATTGCAGTTCATGCTGAGACTGGAATTTAGTATCACATACTTCAAACGTTCAACACGTTATCGCTCTATCTACTAGACCATGAAGCTACTAATGTGTTCAATTAATACTATCTTAATATCCTGATGAGTATGAAATTGAGTTATCCTATATTGAGTATAAACAGATAGTTTGCAAATATAACAATAAAGATTGATTAAAACAGTCGTGAGCAGTAACCATGAGATAATTCAAACCTAGTTTATTAATGATTTAAAGATCTTGTATTCGATACAGTATAGAGTCTCAAGTAAAAATCCTTCAAGATTTCTTAATCAGGATGAAACAATTATTTAACTAATGTAGTTTCATGAAAAATCATTTTGAATTTGTACAAAACACTAATAGAAAATGTAGCTAAATAATTTACTTAATTTTTCTTGTTTATTTCGGAAATATTGATTAATTTGAAGACAGATTTAAGAAGTGGATAAAATATCTATGCAAACACTGGCGAATCGATAAACAATTATCCTCACTCCATGAACGAACAAATAACAATTAACTTCACCCTAAATCTTACAAGTTCAATAACTTTTTAAAAAAAATCTAGAATTAAAATTTATTCAAACAAAGAATATTGATTGCGGCTAGCAGTGAAATCCAGGATGAGCGTTTCGTACCAGTTGGGACTCATCAGTTGGATGTACCTGCATCTCATAGTTGATGTTCATTCTGGGACTCGAACCCAATAATAAATAAATATATTCGCTGATTATAAATTAACAAATTTGTGTAGAATTTACTTTTGAAAAATTGAAAGCTTCATAATCAAACCAATTAAGTTCTAGAGATTGAAGCATCAACAAAATTACAAATATTTACAAGTAATTTGATATTTAGAATATTTTCGTTTTCTATTATCAACAAATTGCTATATGCATTGTATACACAGCATCCTTATACTGATTGTGTTTTACTGATGCTTACAAATGGAAATGTAATTATATCTGTAATTAATTATTTTTTAAGTTCAACAATGTTGTAATTTAATAATTGAATTTATGAGTTAATTGAAGCTAGACCACCATGGAAAACCTGGAAACACTGGACGGCCGTTTCATCCTAGTATGAAACTCTTCAGCAGTGCGCATCCACGATCCCGTTTCTCGAGATTCGAACCCAGGACCATATATATATATGGCACATGAGTCTAGTCTAGGTAAACAACAAAAGCACCTGGCCTTAGATTTCATGCCAGTTGGCACCTATCATCAAAACATATTTCAAGTCTTGAGGGAAATACCAATCGTGGTGATTCAAGAGTGGACGGATTAACAGCAAAGTCGTCGAATCATCTAATGTGTATAAAAATGCAGCGAATATGGCGGTAAAAAACATTGGAAGACAGTATATTTGGTGGATTAATATTAATATTAACTGGGACTTGTTGGGTAGTGTATTTTTCATTTTCAGACCTTAACTTCCACTTGATCGATAGAATTTGAGCAAAGCTAGGAGTTTAAATGTTAATTATCAAAGCCTTAATTGATAATAAACGGAAAATAACACTGTGCACCTCTTTGGAACAACAGCATTTGTATTAATGATTTTCGAATTTTTCTTACAATTACTGTTTGCTGAAAGTTCACACTTAACCAAGGTGTATCCTACCACTGGAACGGGTAAACTGGCAGAAATAAGGCATTTGTAAACCTTCACTTTAAATGAGTGTTGTATGTCAACTAGTGTGCATATTTTTACGGTTGTTTGTAGAATTCATTTTAAGCTAACTTATAATTGTACAGATTTATAATGAATTGATCTAAAAGAAATCTCTTTGTTGGATTTTATGTCTAATATCTGAGACTTTCATTACAAATGTTTTGATAGATTTCACCTTAATAGTGATGAGAAAATTCCCAGTAGATTAATATGCAGATCTGAAAAGCTATCCATATTTAAAAGCGAATTAAATAAATATCGAGTATCATCAACAAATAAAAAACAAACGATATTTGTGGAAGAAACGAATTACAACAACAGTATTTTTTCTTTTCCAAATAGAAATGTGATGTGTATCCATCTATTTATTATTTGTCATGTGTAGATTTAAATACATGGTCACAAAGCATGCTCAAATTCTGAAAGCTATTGATACCTTCCGGTTTCCTGGATCGAATTAGGTGGAGAAGTGATCAGACCAGAGATTTAGTGGCTAAAATTCGAATGATTTAACCACAAAGCTCCAGTTCCACAGCCAATGCGATGTAACGTTGAACAAATGATTGTTAAGTTAAAAGATATATGGACAAAAATTGTACACACTTAATTTCAGACTAAGGAGCATAGATTAATTAATTTTTCAAATATTCGAGTGACTGATTTTGAGTACTTCAGTTTAGATTGTTGTTTCGTTTATTGAAACACAAACTAAACATATCAATGAGCTTAAAAATGAGACTCAAAGGCACTAAATAAGGTGGATTTCAGTAAAAAAGGAAATATTTATAATAATATTCATTTATACCACATAACATAAATCTAAACATATACAAAGATTTATTTTAGAAATACAATGAAACAGAAGATGAAAAAAAACATTCACAAAGTAAGACGTGAAAGTTCTATGAATCGATTAGCAGCTTTATCAAAACCGAAACTGCATGAATCTGTTAATGGGATAGTTGAACCTAAAGGCGGTGGTGCAGTCCGTAAATGACTTGAGCTCGAAGTCGGAGTTTGAGGAGATGCTGAACTTAAACGTAAATGTGTACTGGAAGATCGACTGCTTGGACTTCGAGGTAAAAATGAATTTGTGGTAGGATGTCCAACAGAAGATGTACGGCGCAAAGATATACCAAAGGAGTGACAAGCTTTCTATTAATGTAAAATTCAGAGAAGAAAAAATTACTGGATAATTGAAAATTAGAAAAACGTAAATCAGAAAACCATATATAATCCAAAACGTTCAAGGTTAAGGGATTTTTAATCACAAACCATAGATTTTATGAATGATCCATACAGAATGATTCACTTATAGATAACGATTGAGTGTTTTCAAATTATTTTTCTTTGAAAAAAATTTACAAAAAAGAAATAACTGGGTACGAAGTAGTAATCATAGTATCATATACGAATTTGAAGGAGAAACATTTACTATGAAAGCCAATGACATCTATTCTCATAGACTATCTATCGCCCGCAACCACCGCCTTAGCCGACGTAAAATATTGGAACAAAAGTTAGAAGGGCCTACATCAAAATAACATCATCCCAGTGAATTCACTGATTGTTGAGCTAATTTCGGTGTAATTAGGTTCTCTGAGTACGGTAGTATAATCATGAAGCTCAGAGAACAAAAATCCAACAAAATCATTGATATTGGGTACTACACTTCTCCACTATTATAAGGTTGTGCCATATAGACAAGTACAGACCATATCGTCTATACCAAATCATTTCTATAACTACGGCTATTACTTCTACTACTCCGGTGTTTGTCTTCTTATTTCTATAGAGATGTGCTGATGTTGTATGACAGGTGAGCCAGATTCACATCTCTTGCAGGTTCTACATAGCTTATAGACTGACTGAGTGTATCGAAAAAAATCAGGTAAGAACTAACTAATCCATTTTGGAAATAATTAATTGAAAATAGTTAAAACATCACTACGTTGCAGATTTACTTATTCATATAATAATTGAACATCAGATCATATATACTTACATGGTATATATATATATATATATATATATATATATATATATATTCCAGTTACCAAAACAGCAATAAATATTAAAAATAGCAATATATGCGAGTTTGTGGAGATTGTAGAATATTTATCGTTTACATTGCAAGCTGGTCTTGGATAGACGAATATTGGAAATCAGAAAACTATGAAAGTTCTATAACCTCCGTAAACCCTTTGTACCAAACAAAATCATATGCTCAATAATAACTAACTTCGCGATGCCATTTCAAGAGTCCTAATGAGAAGCTATGACTGGTGAAATTCAATCATATCGAATGTGAGAAAGTTATCCACCACAAGAGATGAAAGATGATCAAGCAATGTCACGAATTAATTGAAGTTAGACATGTACACTACTGGGTTCTGGATATGATCTAGAGGCTAAGAGCCCGCCATGAGACCAGATTACTTGGATTTAATCCTCACTGGATGGATTCATAGGTGGCCACTGTTGAGGAGTCCCATACTAGGACGAAACAGATGTTCAGTACCTACAGGTTTTCAACGGTTACCCAGCAGAGATCAGTTCATGTTGTAAACTATGGAAAATTGCAGTATGATGAATGAAAATAAAACAAAAACTAACCAATTCAGCAGTTAATTCACGCAAAAGTAATTGTTTATCCATAGGTCTAATAGATGGACTTGTCAAAAGTATAGTAGATTGAGAGAAAATTATTGATAGAACCATTTCATAAGCACGTTGAACCAAACAACTAGACAAAAAAGACGAATATAAAAATGGAATATCTCTTATCATTGAAAATTTTCATCATAGTTCCACATTACTGCAAATATATATGATGCTAGTCTATCATTAATAATTCATAATATTATGATTTTACAAGTGATTAAATAAGTAATTGAGAGAAAATTCATGAGATAATCATTTGTAAATATTGAAAACATGCAATTCAACGGTTTCCAGATTACATAATACTCAGAAAGAGAATAAGAAAAATACAATAATTTAGAATCAAGCTTTATGTTTAAATAGGAAAACAGAGTTTAATACTGGTCAAATAGAACAACTAAATAATAACTAACGTAAAATTAAGCACCATAAGAAGTCCACTATGGAAAGTAGTTAGTTTGTGAAAAAAATATTGCCAATATTTGAAACATGTTAGATAGGTACTTTAATATTCTTACATGTAGGTGTTTAGAACAAAACTTCCTACGATATAGGAACTAATCACAACCTATTAAAAAAACATTGCGTAATATGTTTGAAAATCAGCTACAATGCACTGAATCTCTTCCATTTTATCATCCCCAAAAGTTTTGAGCTTCAATATTATTTTGAATTTTTATCTCCTCTTTCACATCTTCTTTCTACATAGTATTCAGTATTTTTATCTTTTGCATTATCAATCACTTTGATTGAAACAAGCCAAGTGATATGCTATATGAACATCAACTACAAACTATAAATTAACGGAGTTAAAATAACAAATCAAATGATCCAAGTGAAATACCCAAATAGCATCACGTCCCTCAATATTACAGGTACGCCTTGTTGACTAGTGCCAACTAGTATGAAGCATAGGTAAATGGTGTCTTGTCAACCACCTCCAGGAATCTAACGCGTATATTAACTTCATAAAAATGTCTTATATTTTAGCAAAGTAAAAACGTGTTTAGAGCAGCTCAGTAATCAAATTCACGTCCAAATGTATCAGCATGTGATAGTGATTTGTTATACAAGCACAAGTCCGTGGGCATGAAGTTTGAAGATACGATTTAAATTACTAAAATATGAGTACCGCTATTTATAGGTGACGTAGCAAGAATTTGATGTTGAAGAAGTGACCATCATTGAAAGGGATGTGGATAGTCAAACGATCCGCGATTTAATGCAAATTTAAACACTAATAAGGATATGATGCTTCTACGAAAAAAATTACTAATTCCAATAACGTTCAAATATAAAAACAAATAAAATCTTCCTATAGCAAAGGAAGTGTTAAGTTTTGATGCGAAATAATTTTTAGTATGGGGTTGTGGAGATTGCTGGATTTCATTGAAATCATAAAAACATCTAAGTCAGACCACCATGGTAAACTCGGAATCATTGGGGAGCCATTTTGTTCTAGAATGGGACACCACAGCAATGCGCATCCACGGTGGTTAACTGATCGAAGTTAGACAAAAACATCATTGAATATCGAATTAGTGGTCCGGAGGTAGGACGTTCGTGTGAGAAACCGAAAGTCTTGTGTTCGTTCCCCTGTAGGAAGTGCGTACTGCTGTGAAGTTCGATACTAGGACGAAACGGCCGTCCAGGGAATTCAGGTTTTCAGTGATGGTCTATCTTAGACTGGTTCACAATTTCGATTCAAAATGATCCGTTTCCTAATGACAGAAAGAATAAATACAAACGAGATGTATAAAAGAAAGAACTAGTCGAATCACGATAAATAAAACAAACAGTAAACCAACACTAACCAGAGTTCTCGTTTTTTTCGTGCAATTACTGATTCGCTAGATTGACAGGATTTCCATACATTACCTAACTGAAAATGATATAAGATTAGAATTACAGTGATAATAATACTGATAATAACAACAGTAGTTTAAAAATGCGTGAAATAATAGATGATAGACTTGACAAACTGACACATGACTCTTCACTTTCTGAGAAATAACTATTGAGTGCTGATTGGATAAAGTGTTTCCCGGCGTTTTCAGGACCCCTTTGGGCATTTCTGGGTCTCCCCAACAGTTAAGTGTATTTCTATATCACAAGTATTTACTACTAATAAATATGAAATATCTTGAAATAATGAGAATAACAGGAAAATAATTTGAATGAAAAAAAACACAACTTAAACTCACTTTTGAAGATAAACTACCTAATGAATTAGCTAAGGTAATTAGAACACCAAATGTTATTACAGTTGAATTGTCATTTAAATTAGGACTATTAAATGTAAGATGAACATAAACTTTCAAGTATTTCAATTCATCAGACTGGAAGAAGAAAAACAAAATACGATAATGAAAAAGAAAACTAAGTAATTAATTACGAGCAAAACACATTAAGAATAGTTTTAGAAATAATGAGGTTAAAATTTTTGTCGCTGAAAAATTCCTATTACATTAAAACACAAGTGTATGAACGAAGAATAATATGTCAGACTGCGAATCCTACAGACGGCTGAATCAATTGCTATTCCGATCAAAAAGCCAGAGCTTTGCATCCAAAAGAAGTATGTTCAGCCACTCCTTTTACCTTGGCCAACTACTTAATAATCAATTTTATAATCTGGTACTTTGATTAATGTTCATTTTATGTTCCAAACTTATTATTATTATTATTATCACACTTGATAACCTTTTTGAGGAGTTTATTCAATATCCACCCCTAAATCTACTATATATGAGCCAATTCATATTATTCTACAAACTACGTAATTTCCGATTTTTATCCCATTATTTTGTCTCTCACCCCATGTTGACTATATTTATTCTGATTATTTATCGCACAATTTCATTTCGCTTATAAACTGATTCAAGTTAACACTTCATATTAGTCAGCTCCAACTTAATGATCTGATTTTATATAACAAATAACAATTCTTAATTCACATATTACAATTTCCAAATGATGTACTCTGCCTTGAATCTGACCAATTCTATGGATTATTAATTTGGATTTATAATTGTAGAACCTGATGATATATATATATATATATATATATATATATATATATATACGGGTTAATGTCTTTTAAGTATGGTTTTTTCTACAGTATGGGGTTGCTGACTACATGCCGAACCCTCCTTTAACTGGGCTTGGAACCAGTACTGATCCTAGAAGAGCTACGGGAGGAAATCATCAGAGTGCAATATGAGGCAAGCCCTAACTTGGAGTCCGGAATGTGAAAAAAATAGACAGATAAAATAATACATTGCACCGAGAATTGATGGCAGACATTAAAAGAATTAACAGCAACTAGAAAGGGCAGAGTTGGATGGAGGATCCTGGTGGGTGGCTTACACTCCCCCACGAAGGGTAACACGCGCAAGTAAGTAACATAAGTTGTATTAATACTGCCTATTATAGATACAATGAAAACATTCTTATGAAAGACTAGCCTTTGTTTTTCTTATAGCTCTCAACTATTAACAATGATTGAAATCTTATTGTTCACATATTGTTTTATTCAATTAAATTCGAACAAATTTTAGAATTAACACTTGCGATCTTTGTCTTAAGTAAGTTGAAAATATAACATGATTATAATAAGATAATTACGGAAAATTTATAAACTAATAACATGTATACATAAATATACATAATATTTCGGATATCATATAGAAAAACAATTTATTTAACTCACTGTCATTAAAGATGCCTTGCCGAGGATAGGCAATTGAACCATTAATACACTAAGTGACATAATAAGATGTCGTACAAGATAAAGGAATTCTAATCCACTAGTCTCTGAACCAGATGATTCCATTGATACTGAGCTAACAGAATGTGAACTTGTTACTACTTCATTTGATTTACTCATCATTAATGTTGTTTTAGGCAGCGTAGATGTAAGTGTACCTGATGGACTTGATGTTGATTGACCGGTAATTCCAGACTTAGTTGGTGTTATATGTGATCCTGAGATTGGAACACTTTTAAATGATTTAAAACCATGACGTTGAAACAATATTGAACAACAGTGTATTTGGCATTGAATAAGACTGAATACTGTGTTAAAGAATTCCGAATGTACAGTAGGACCATAAGATGGCTTGAAAAAAAAAAGTTAATAGATAGAGAATATTTCTAAACAATATTATGAACCTACCCATGGTATACGTGAATTTAGATTTGCAATTCGTGGATGGTTTGAATATAGGATATTTGATGCTATTATAGGTAGACCTGATGTACTGATGTATTCAGCAGCGACTAGAATACGCCAATATAACTTTAAGATAGTTTCAGCTAATTGAATTCGATCTGTGGACAATATACCTTGTTGAATTAATACACTAGTAATCGGTAATGGAGACATAAGATGCTGATCATTAATGGATGTACTATTATTATATAATGATGAACACCAATAATTCACAAAGAATTCCAATTGACTAGCATTATCCATACAAAAATTTTGTATTAGCGAATAAACTAATGGATGCTTCATACCTCCAAGATTATCATGAAGTAAGCATAGAAATTGCATCTCCAAGATAAGTACAGCATTCCAATCGTAATGTATAGATTGTGCTTGCTTCATGTAACAATTATCATCAAGTGAATTAGCTTGCATCTATACAAAAATAATAATTGATGATAAATAAATATACAATGTAAAAACATGTACGTGTACACAATTTTAAAAATTAAGATAGCTGAGTGCTTAGTGGTTACATTACTTTCTTTACAGTTAGTCAGGCCACAGGTTCGAACCCGACTCATCCTAATTTAGATTAGCCAGCCATACAAACTATATTGGATTAAAACGGTACAACAAACTTGTACTCGGTAAATGAATTATATGTATTTCGGATATTAACAAAAGTTACTCAACTAATCAACTAAATCGAGTAGGTTGGGTTGAATTCAAAAGTCTGAAGTAAAAAATCCATGACTTGAATGGGATAACTACAAAAGAAATGATGATGATGTTGTTGTCAACTAAATTATATAAACTTACATTTGAATACGATTCACCATCTTGTAACCATTGACGTAAAGTATCTAACTGAGGCCAACAGAACGCTTGTGATATATATTCATGATAGGATAGAACTAATTGAGTAATTATATTCTTCGGTTTATTTAATAAATTATTCTCTGACTCATCAGTATATTGATCAATTGATTCGTCTAAATCTGTTATTGTAGGATGAGGTAATTTATTCACATTGGAAGTGCTGGTTAATGTTGCTATATTACGCAATGGTTGAGATGAATTGATCACTAATTTCACAAGTAAACTAATTAAACTATGACTGAGAGTTGCACCATCTTTAAACTGGAAAAGAATGTACAGGAATTCAATAAACGTAATTACATATAATTTATGAAATTTTTTTAAAAAATAAGCCAGCTAATTATGACATATATAAGATAAGTGATACAATCTAAACAGATTCATTCACTAGCCTATAACAATACAAATGATACTATCCAGAAGACTTTGAAACGGAATTGGAGTGCAGCTTAAAAGCAGTAAGTACGATGAATAGAATGAATTTTTTAAATATCTTTTGATGAGTAGTTCATATAGGTTAATTTTTTTTTTCTGGATATAAAAACTGTACTAAAACGCATCGACTAAGCAGTTTGACAAGTTTTTATATCATATAAAACCGATTGATGGTTACGAATACACTGAAGCGGTGCGTCGGTGGTCAACGTGTTCAAGTTTCAGCCACTACTTCTTAGGTCCGAACACCTCTAGACGTAGTTCAATTTAAGCAATCAGGTAGAATTTATTAGCTTACAATACTTGGAGTTGGACTCATAACCAAGAACACAAAAATATGTGTAGTAAACGAGTTAATAGAAAATTACATTGATTAACAGTTAACAGATTATATTGTATATGATGCTAGATAATAGGTTTTATATGAAAGTCTCATGGTGTCCACCAACAGGTTGGTTATCTGAACGTTATTACAACTTAAATCAACTTGAGATAAACGTTCTTAATCTGTGTTACGAGACCGTTCTTTTTATTAAACGAACCACTACCAGCTCTTATTCGAATTGTTAAACATGTTGAAATAGATAAAACCGAATATGGTTTAACTAATATCAAACAGTATATGGTTGAAGAGGAGAATTCTTAACATTCTGTTTTTCTAATAAGAAAAAAGACATTTTCCAAATCTTATTGGAATTTATGAGCTGCTGAGGAGCCTCATATTAGTACGAAACGGCCATTCAGTGCTTCCAGGATTTAAATCACGATCTAGTTAAGATCATTTCGTGATTTTAACAGTGAAAACTTAATTTTCTATGAAATCAGACTATTTTGAAAATGATCCTTTATATTTAATCAATCCTTCTACTAATATGACCAAAAATATTTTAAGTAAATGCATGATTTCCTATAAAAGTAAACAAAATTTTAAGTTAAACCAGCGCATTAAGAGTGGAGTGTTCGAATTTTAATCCAAATGAATTCTAATTGTATTTCAATTGATTAATTAATCTGTGAGATATTCAAAATTTAAAATATTTTTAAAAGATCGAAATGATTTATAGAAACCTCATTGAAAATTTATTTTCTTTTTTGTTACTAACTATTAGATTACTGTAAAGTAATAAACTCAGTGGCTTAGAATTTTTCACATTTATAGTTACTAGCTTAACCAGCCATATATTTATTATGGGTACTCTCTTCGGTATAAGCAATATCATATACTCCCTATGTAAGAAGAAAAAAATGGTTCACAGACATCTTAATAGTGAATACATCGTATTAGTGTACAAAAAATCTGTGTTTATTGTGAGAAGTGACAAAGCATTTACGTAATACATATACATAGCTCTCAGTCGTTTATTTGCATCTTTTGGTGTGTTATACAATCTAAACTGTCGACTGACCTCCAAATATTCTGTCAACGCCGTGCTTTCACTGTGCTGAAACTTTATTCCATCCAACAACTTTAGGGTCACGTTTCACAACATAATACTTACAAATAATTTTGTGAATAACGTCTACTACATTAGCTCTAAATCTCTTCTTTATGCTTTCAAATACCGGCAGAATAATTAATGTTGAAGGTACTGAATTAGTTTACCCATATGATGAAAAAAATCAAGTCACTCATTTCTTTTTAACTTATGTATCTTTAGTAATTTTAACTTACTTTGGTACATTCAGTTAATAAAATGAAAATATTATTCAAAACACCAGTATCTGTGAGACGTGTAAATAATGTTGTAGATTGATTATGATCCCATAAGAAGATGATTAGATTGACCGACTGTAAAATAGCCTGTAAAGTTAACGGAATACATAAGTTTGAATATTTTACAGTCAAAGACGATAAGCACATTACAATGAAGAGATGTAAAACTATTCAATGGACTAAAACTATGAATAATAAGTGTAATCAGTGAAGCATTCTTAATTCTAATTTTACATATATTCCTTACACACTAGGTAAAAGTGTTAAGTACCCAAATCAGGCCTTTATTACATTAGCAGTTATATTTTTTTGTCCGGTTATCGCTTATATTTTCTGTAGGATCAGACTTCTATCTATGAAGTGACACAGAGACCAATGAACAATAGCCAAAATCTCAACATTCATTAGTCTTCGAGCTACTTTTAACCCAGTGTCCAACAAGGCGAAAAAGACGGAAGGCAGATTAATTTTTCATTGTACTCTATTCCAATTATGAATTGAAATTTAAACAGTAATTTATCTGGAATGCCTGACAACAAAACAACAAAATTATAAAGTGTGCATGATTCAGCCATAAGTGATATGAAACCGGAGTAGTAGCTAAATAATTAACTGACGATAAATATGAAGCAATAAGACATATGACAGCAATTTATAGATCAAACGAAAGCTTAAAAATAGAATATAAAAATAGACTTAAAGAGCCTACTGTTTATACAATGAAAATATATACAATAATCCATCGTATAACAATCGCACCGCTACCCCGAAGATGTCAGTTTTGGAACCTCACAACAATACGGTGTGAACTGATGTGAGGACACTCCCCCTTTTATCTAGAAATCAGATGTCTTGCCAATACGACAGGTGATGTAAGTTGACAAACCCAACTGAGAATTTTAAACCCGGTGCGAGATTGCGTCAGCTACTAACCCACCAAAGCTGATAAGACTTTAAGACAAATGAAGTGCTCAACACCATCAACTACTTCATTCCTTATGAAGTGTTTACACGTTGACACAGACTAATCCTGAAGTAACATTTAACATTCAAAGAGAGAGCAACGCACACCAAAGATGCATGGGAATATTTCATATAAACATTATCTTGGAAAAATATAGTGAATACATCACTTGTTAAACTTACAGATTCTTCAATTTTACTTATGTTAGGATTACGTGTGAGTAGGCTTAAAAAGCAAATTGCATTATTGAATAAAGAAGATTGAAGTAATTCAAACTGATCATCTGTAGTTTTTTCATTTAATCTTTTCGAATCATACCAACTGAACAGTATATAAGTACTGGCTAGTAGATCTGAATGCATATGCTGAACTTGGAAATCTATAGCCACTTGGAAACTTGACAAGAGATCATTCAATTTTGTTAAATAATTAGCCAAATCATTTGTTGATAATTCTTCGATTGGTGTGTTTTTCTTTGACGTATTATAAGTTCTGGGAAAATGTGAATAAGATATAGTTGCAGTTGTGTGTATTATTATAGGATAAACATTATATAAACAGTAGGAATAAAAAATATGGAGACACAACTGTCTCTAATCATGGATTGCCACAATCTTCATTCGAAATCAAGTTAACCTTACATTACAAGTTAGTTACGATAAACATTAGCTGCAAAAGACATTTAATTCTACCAAAATAATGGTAGAAATGAAGTGCCCTATTAATGAGTAAGCCCGTTTACAGGAAAATGCCCCATTAAATCAAGGTCCAATAGAAACTTCTCGAAGAGTTGGAGAGAAACGATAGATTACATGTCATATTTGCGCTGGATAATTACTTAACTTTCTACTAATTTTAACAGGATCATAGAACCTTTCAGTAGACAAACGAAACACATAATTTTATAAATATTTATTTCCTGAAACTAAACTAACCTTGAAAGTAAAGCCTTTTTCCTACTTCCCATCTTTTATCTTCCCCCTAGGGACTCAAGTTTAAGATTACTGAGGGGACTAGGTAGCAATTCGAAAGTCAGTAGCAAGTAATCATATCGAAGATATATCAGTAATCCGTTGGGCCGTTCAAATATTTTGTATTGTTTAAGCCTTATGATGCCTTTTGCACCCTTCGTTCGGATTAACTCATAGTCTATATCTGATAGCGGTACACCGGAAGAATTTAGTGAGGATAAGGAATCAAGTATATTACACAGGGATAGACATAGTAATTGAGTAAGTGTTAGGAGAATTCGAATTTCGAAACGTTAATAAGTTATAGATGATTACATTTTTAGTAACTTAAGAAAAGAGTTTGTTATTACCTATTTTTACTACAACTATGACATTATATGTTTTAACAATTATGAACTTACTTATATAAATACACTAAAGTTGTATTAAGTATTGTAGCCAATTGATTTCCTAAATCAAAAGTTGACTGAATCGGTGGTAAATCACGCTAAAAATGAAAAGCGAGAAAAAAATCTTGAAAAAGGAAAGAAATGAAATATATGTGACGGCAAATGTACACCCGTCAAAATTTACTGCACTACAATGTAAAAAGCATCAAATATTTGGAGGACGCAAGGTACTCACCAATCCTATTTGGTTATACTACTATCTAATGAATATTTAAACAACCGAACCGAATTCGCTTATTCAGGTTTTTGAAAATTTATCTCATAATAAGCAAAAGAGTCTTTGAATGATTGTTCCTGATAGATTGTTGAATCGAAACCCATTTTTATTTATATTGGACAGTGAATCGACGTGTTTCAATCAAATACACAGTTATTTCTACAGATTAGTCAAATTAAGTCGTAGCGAACAGAAAAATCGATGTATCATCATCAACAACAAGTTCTCAATGACGAACAGTATACTTTAAAATATTACCATTTCGATTGTAATACTAATATTATGAATCCCTGTAGATTAGTGATTCGACAATAGATTAAAACTTAAAAAAAAGCTGACTAGAGTAATTGTTTTCAAGGTTTGTTTGTTTTTCACTTTCTACTAATGTTATTAAATTTCTGAGTGAGTAAGGAACGTGAAAAGTATTAAAGTATTAAATTACACAAATTATATAAGAAAGATAATCATGATGTACATAAATTAAATAGAATTATGCAATCGAATATTAAATAGACTGATTAAAATTTTTAATTAGAAATAAAAAAAATTCTAGATCAATATGATAGTGTAAGTACGATAAACAATAATGAAATAGTTTACTGAAATTTCAAACAACAATGAGTTAGATATAGATATATGAAGACCTGAGATAAAAATTAAACAACTACTGAGAACATGAACATTGCTAAACCACTAGTCAATAAACTGAGGTACAAAACTGAATTGTTTGGACAGTTTTAAATAAGTCAACTTAACGCTTATTATACTTCTAATTTAAGCTTACTACATGTAAAGCTGTGATTGACTGATTTATAGATAATTGAGTTCAAACTCCGTAAACTCAATTAAGTTTGTAGAATAAAACGACATTATCATCTGTCACATTTGGATACTGAATGCTACTGATGAAGAATTCTTAGTAAATCTATAAACACCCAATCACTTAATGAGTCTTGAACTATAAAGTCCATGTTCAGTTTAATAATTTGAGCGTTTGACCATTCGAATTAATAAAATTTATGAAACTCACTAAAAATTAATGAAAATCACTGATTGGGTAAAACAATTACGTGATTTGAGGAAGTTTCAAGGTTCATTAATACTGTGATGTGTGCTGCTTATATTGACATAAGTAGTATATGACGTTAGTCGTGAACAGAGTGTCTGGCAACAGAGAGACAAGAGGATCGAACAGTAAAGAATGGAAACAGAATGTGTTTTGTATAAAAATGTAAGAACAATGAAGTCTGACTCATTTTCAGACAATTGATGGACATTTTGCAAATTAAGCATTTACTATATGATTGTTAGATTTTATTAACAAGTTCTGTAATTTTGTGTCAAATACATTCGATTGTTCCCACTGATGTTCTTATTTACTACAATACTATGACTTAATATTAACTTCTACATACAAACTGTTGTCTATATGGATCTGGGTGCATAATTTGTAAGTCATATGATCGAACCATACTTTTTCAATGATCAATAAAAGTGCACGATCTAGCATTTTCATCAAGGATTTTTTTCATTAATTTAGTGTATCAGCGGGACATTTGAACAAGCTACTGTAAAGAAATTCAAATTGTCGAATAGAATAGTCAAAAGAATGAAATTCTCAGTGAAAATCATGCCTTCATTAAGTGAATGAATGGAAAAAATGCTAGATATTACATACATAATAAATATTGAGTGGTAGATGAGCTACAAAATATCCGTGAATACGTATCATATCCCTAGGAGATTCGATTAGTGAAATTTAGAAAAAGACACTATTTTAAAGCTAAACAAATGCATAATACATACCAATAGACTGAAACATTCAATTAAATCATTCAAAATCGATAAAGGTATTGTGATAAAATCATCTTTTGATTGCTTTCTTGAATTCATTAATTGGTTTCTATTAGAATTATTATCATTACTATCAAAATTATTATCATCGACATTGCCATTATTGTAATTTAATAATAATAAACATTTCCAACGACATGTTACATTGTGTAGAGATGTTAGCCGAGATTGAAGATATTCTATAGATACATCTTCTGATTCACTGTACGATAATATTTTATGTAAACATTTACGAGTTAACTTTGAGAGAGAAAAAGAGAGCGAAATATAAATCAGTCGGTAAGAATAAGGGTTTCATAAAATAATTCACTACAATCATGAATTAGTAAAAACTAAAAGACTGGTGAACCGGATTCGAGTAGTTTATAAAGAATTCAGATATCTGAACAGTTAATGGTGAATACATTGTGTATGCATACCCAATAAGTAGTGATTTCATTAATTACCGATATATCAGAAATTATACGTTTCGGCTGCGCGAAGCAGTAATTGAGTTTAAAAACTTCATTGTTTGTTAGCATAGTGAATCCTGGTGTGTAAAATTTCTGAAGTCGTAAATTCTTAGCATGTTCACCTGACAAGACTATATTGTTAGAATATAGAGTTTTTGGATAAAATATCTGTTATATCCTAGTGAAGATTAAATTATGGGTAACTTTTGAGAACTAAGTGTGGACTAATATTATATATATATATATATATATATATATATATATATATTCGAAGATTGTATTTAACCTTATTGGTTACTGCTATATGATTTACTATTCCTAAGTTATTCTCACTCTATTAGTCACAGTTACTTACAATCACAGCTACTTTTTGGCTTGATCGTGTACAAACGTTATTTTCTATTTCATGGTGTGATGTGGTCTGATTTTGCTTGTATGTTTGAAATGGATGATTCAATATAACGGAGGCTGGCATTTGCGTTCTGGACTGAATTGGATGGATTAGATGAGAAGCTGTTATCTCAAGGACCAATAAGGACTCCATACTACTCGTACTGGTCCGGTCAATAAGTCGGTGACACTAATTGGTGATCGTATAGTGTGATATATTAACAGGGCACAAGGGTCATAAGTCATAACAATATTCTTGATACGTTGAAGATAAACAAGTTCACTTTTATCGGGAAATTTATACCGAAACTCAATAAAAATTATGATAAGAGACATAGACAGTTGTTGATTACTCGGTGGTTTACATTAGAGCTCTTATTGGACTATAATAAAGGTAAGGGAGCTTAAGAAAACAATTTTCAGTAATGTGTTATGCTGTTAGGAGTCAAGCAACATGGTTAATCCGTATATAAAAAGGGCCTCAATTCAATATATAACTGGTGGAATACTTTGTCCAGAAGCAAAAATGTACTTTAGTGAATGAATAATAATAGGAATCAATCCAACTCAAAGATTACATGTTACTTTACTATGTAAATATACTGAAAGAAAGTCGACAAAGTAACACAATAAGTAAAACTACAAAATAAATTTACTTTAAACCATAAATTATACAAATTATTCTTCACAAAATAATCCATAACTGATGTAAACGATTTAAAACTCTCATCGTTTGTTGTATAGCTGAAACACAAACCGAAAATATAGAAAAAAAACAAATGACAAATGTTTATGACAGTACTACATAATAAATTAATTTGAAAATATATGCATTGTACAATCTATTCAGACATTTCGATAATGTAATGAGAAGACAGAGATTATCTAATTGTAACTCTATTCAAGTATTATATTAAAATCAATAACTATTGTTGGGTTCAATTAAATGTTAGATTGAATATTGTTTCTGCAAATTTACATTGATTAAAGAAAACCTGTAGGAATCTCTAGTGGGGAATTGTACAGTAGTATCCTAAGAGGAATTTGATTCAATATCTCAGTTGTCTTGAATTATGCATAATACAAAGACGCTTAATTTTAATGTCAACAAAGAGATGTCTTTGTACAATTGAACTGCATGTGTGTGATTAGAATTTAATTTAAAAATCCAAATCCCCTTATTTATTTTATATTTGTTTTGCAGATATGTACAGATTGAATTTATTTATATATTACAAGAATAAAACGTTTTAGTAACTTTATCTGAAGGCATATTTAAATAATTTAACAACATACTGTTGCTAAACTCCTATGGGACTTTATTGATGAACATTGGTGTATAGCGTTATGTTTATAGACCGTCAGATATAATACATTTCTCACTAAATATAACAAAGGAAACTGTTTTAATTACATACACAGTAAAACATGTATACACAACAGGTGAGTATCTTAAGTCAGCCATTTCTTTATTATTTCATTAGAAAGTCAATGATCGCTGACATACTAGTATACTGAACTGCAGATTAAAAACAGAGTGAACAGTCATAGGTATGAGAAGCTGGTAAATTTGATATAGTTAATGCGAAATAAGGTCATTGAAACAACAGGAAATATGCAACTAAAAAACTATATATATAAGACCTAAACAAATACACCTACAGAGAATCTAGATTAAATAAAATTTTAAACACACTCAACTAACCTTGTCTTATTGTAGAGTTCTAACGCTAAAATACTGAAAACATCTCCACAGAGTTCATTTTCAATATCTGATAATGGTTCCTATATAAATAGAACGTTCATTAAAACCATTAAGAACAAACAAATGTGTATAACGGTTCACACAGAAATCCCATAGAATTCTCAAAATATATTCGAACAAAAATAATTAGACTCTACAAACCACGTAACTAATATTCAACTGAGGAATTCGAAGGGTGAATTCTGCAGCAGAACTATTAATCATTAAACAGAAAAACTTGAAACTTGGTTTTTTTTACTAATTCGCACTTGTCACCAAGACGTACCTACAATCTTGAACAAGCTTATGCTCCCAGGTCAACTAGTCTCTATTTATTTATTTGATGTTTGTCCTCAATTCCCAAAGCAACGTGTCCTTACTTCTGCCTCCTTTTCATTTACCTTCGAGATTCCAAGTTAGAGCTTGCCTCGTGCAGTTAGATGATCTCTGTAATGTATATTATATAAACCTACAGCGCCTTTTCCTAATTTCTTCTTCAGTTGGGAGCTGATTTGTTCTCTCACACACTATGCCGTTGCTGATGGTATCCGATCATAGAAAATTCAATATCTTGTGTAGACAATTCTTCATAAATACTTGTACCTTTTTAATTATGGTTTTAGTAGTTCTCCAAGTTTCAACTCCGTATATTAGAATTGCCTTGATATTCGTATTGAAAATTCTGACTTTGATAATGGTTGACAGTTGTTTTGAGTTCGGTATATTCCTCAACTGTAGGAATGCTGTCCTTAATTGGTCAATCCTCGTCATTACATTTGCATCAGAGGCCCCCATATGCTCTGGTACGGCCGAGAGTGGGATGAGTCCGCTCTCCCTCTCGAAATGCTCTCACATGGCCACGAGTATACAGCCTCTGCCAGGGAAGTCCTACTCACTGCCCCCTCGTGGCAAGGGTGTTGCTTACGAAAATGAGAGGACGAAAAGCGAATTTCCGGCGCTTTAACCGGATCCCAAACCAATGGTGCACATTGGTTCCAGTATCCTGAAGGAACAAATGGTGTATGAACCAATCGTTGGTCACCGGCTACCATGGGAGTGCATCTCCTCGCGATGCTCCACTGCTTTGTGGATAAGATCTTTAGGTCGAAGACACGGGGTGTGGCCCCCTAAGAAAATCACCTGCTTCGGTTTGGGCACCCGGGCAGTATCACAGCCCTCACACAAATCAATTGAGATTCGTGTGGCCCATGTGTATTTGGTGCCTCCTTGTACCAATACCTATGTGTTAAAATAAATAAATAAATAAATAAGATCCTCCTTATTCATCGATGATGCTGTACAGTTACGTGAAATTTTCTACACCTCCCAGAGTTTTCACTAACAAGTGTGATTTGGTTGGTGTTTTCTGTGTTGTATTTGAGGATTTTGCTTTTTCCTTTGTGTATGTTGGAGCCTACTGCTAAAGAGGCTGTGGTTGTTTTAACTTGCATTTGTTGGTGTTCATGGGTACGGTACTTATCACCTTCATTAATATCACTGGACAACACTCACTGTGACCCCATCCTTCTTTGTTTTAAAGGGTGCTTTGTTGATCCTGGTTCCATGAAACCCCCATCCTGAAAGTGCATTTCCTGCGTGTTTGAACTGCATCAGAACAACTCCCTGAGTATGCGGAGCATTTTCTTCTTCGTAACGCGAGTACAGCAGTGTTTCTTTCCTGTTTAGCTTGGTTCCAATGTGTTTTACTAATTCCGAAAATCGCCAACTTGTATCTCCTCGTTTGTGCAGCAATTTGATCGGTCCTCCCGATCAACCACATTGTTCAGGTATTCCATGTAGTTATAACAATTATTTCTCTGATTGTTATATAAGGAGTCAGCTTCGTGCTTCCAAATAAACTTGGCTTTCACCATGAGGCGACTTAATTCTTCTGAAAGATGATCCTTCAACTCGGCGGGCAGAGTTTAATAGCATAAATAGTTTATTGTGGTTAGCGTTCTTCTAGGTAGATGGTTTTCTATGGGACGAGGATGCTTACCCCATGCCCAATCCTCCTCCTTTACCAACGCTTGCATCTAAAAACATGAATGACTAATTTATGAACGTACTTCATTAGATCTCACTGTTAGAATAAAAATAGCCAATCTATTAATAAAAAAAACTTTAACTTGAAAAACAATATGCCGGAACAATACAGTAAAAAAAGTTGTATTGCGTAACTTATGTGTGACACATATATATCAGTTGTTCAAATCAATTACCTTTTCGGATTCTTGTAAACTTAAAAGACTGAAAAAAGGATCAGTCAGAGTTTTCCAAAAGTCACACCTAAAAAAGAATCAAGAACACAAAAAACTGATTAGAATTGAGGACAATCTATACATATGAATATTAATTTTTAAAATGAAGTTAGTTCTTGTTATTGCATTTTTTCAGCATACTTTAAAATCACTCACAAGGAATAAATAAGAAGTAATTGAAGAATAAAAAGAGAATGGATGTGAATCCAGTATTCCCTAGAAAATAAAATACAATATAACGAACTAGATTATACATAAACCACCATTCACAGTAACAACAACAAATAACGACTAGCAGTGATGTAATGCATATATTAATGTGAAATTATAAGTGTATCGTTAAGTAATAGATTACAAAAATACAAACTCCATGTAGGTTGGGATTTACTACAATTATAGATCAAAAACTTTCCTTTAAAAATCCCCTACATAGTCCCCAGGTTAATGTACTTAACTCTGGGATATATATTTTATATGTAACCCAGTGATACTACTCACATGCTCAACTCCACGTAAAAGTAAAATGCAAACCCAAAAGTCAATAGTTAAAAAGCAATTATTGGTATCACAATCCACAAATGAAAAGCTATAAATCTTTAAGTATAGACTTTAAATGATAAAACAGTATATTTTTATTTAGTTGAACCAATTAAGTGATAAATAATAAAAAAGTACTCTTGAACTTACCTTTGTTTTAAATTTACAATGCAAGGTTGAATATTTAAGAGATAAAGAGATGAGATAAATTTCGTCACACTCCAAAACAACACAGTTGATAATTGATTATTATTAGTATTATCATTATCGTCAAACTGTTTCTGGAAAGATTTAATCTAGTAAGGAAAAGAAGAATGAAATTAAAGTTTTTACATTTTAAGTAAAGAGATTTACATAACGTATTCTAGTTATCCATGAGTTTGCATTATTAATGGGTTGATAAGCTGTTTAACAAAAGTCCCTTCTAAAGTTGTTTTTGTGTACACTATACAAAGTCCTTCGTGGTAGCCATTAGGAAATCCTTTCGCTAGTTTCCAAAGATCTCTGTAAGGTAGCTGAATTGAGTGATGAGAAAGATTTCTTAATTTAAAGCAAATTTCATGTCTTCTTGTCGAAAACTATCTTGAAGAAAGATATTTTCTTAGGAGTTTAATTTTTGAATTAGGTAATTTGGTGAACATTTGTTTTTAATTATAGCCTGTAGCTGAAATGTAAGTAAATCAAGACATCCATTGAATACATCTTTAAAATTGGTTCATTTCATATGACATCTCTAAAGAGTAAATACGTACAGACTCTAAGAATTAAACAAACTATCAGAAGCTCCAATCAAACGAGTCGTTGCGTAATAGGCTCACGATTAGCACAGTACATAATTAAAGTTAGAACAACATATATAAGGTTATTATAATATATTCATGATAAGTAACACTTAATAATTTGGGATCTATAATACACTCCGAATGATAAGCAACAATTTTCTTAAGTCAGTAACCAGAGACTAGATTAAAATGGTGTAGAAAACCAATTAAATTTAGTATTTTACAAACTCTGTAATATTTATGTACAGCATACAAACAGCTATACGATAGTGTTCTGCTGAAATTTCTATGTAGATAAACTATCTACATGAAACTGAAGAGAAATCGAGATGTGGAATCCAATGCGCTAAGACTTTTTTGTTTTGAATATTATCCAGCTTTTTAATGACAGAAATTGAACTCTCATTTTAATATATGATTCTTTTCATGAAAACAGAAAGCAATTTTATTCGACAGTTAGTAATAGGATACCAGTGAGATTATAAAATGTACGTAAGTACATTTAACGATTAAATCAAACAAAAATGTTTAAGAAAAAACTGGCAGACATCATGAGAAAATACGAAAGTGCGTTTTAATTTATCGAAACCTATTGACTACTTGCAAGTAGTTTAATAGGTACAACAAAACGTTCTAAAAAGTACTATGTAACATGTCTTGGTTGAACCAAACTTTTGGCTTTTTGTTCATAATGAGCAATCTGAGTACATGCATAAAGTTTGTCGAGATGAAGTATTTTATTTTAAAGAAGATTCCATCACATACCAAACAGATTTTAAAAATGTGAATCGTCACAGACGAAAAAGCTCTATAAATAATCTACATAAACGCCATCACATGCTATGACACATACTCAAATACCTCTCCATTTCTTATGACATTTATCGCCATTCTGATGGGTATGTGCACGATCTTCAAAAGAACAGAGAAATAATGTTGTCAGTAAAACCTAAAACAGTTGGAGTATGAGAATACACTGTAATTCTATGTTGCCTGGAGTCATCAAAGATCCTACTGTTCAAACAGACATCAACAATTCTTATAAGTTAGCAGACAGTTTCGTAATTCACAAAAACATTAATTCAGTAGATTTACTATTATAAATCTAGAATAACACATTTATTAAATTATTTCAAATGTGTAAATTGTAAAGTTTTCAACTGCTGTGTATTAATCGTTCAAATAACACGTGATACGCAGAACAATGTAACTATAAAAAGATAAAAATGATTACTGAACATTTATGAAAAAAAGTTAGATATAATACAATTATACCTGAAGTTCTTTAAGTGTATCTATTACACAATCCAGACAGTCAGAATTTGAAATTTCTTTGGATTTAGTAACCATCGTTCTATTCAACTTCATATCTGAACATATAATAGTTCCATCTGTTAAAAGTAAACGTAATAGTCCAACTGGCAATCGTGAACAAACAGGTTCGTATTTTTCACTATTTAATACTGTCTCTGATAATAAATCATACAATCCAACACGTACCAATTGATCTTCTGTAGTAGACACTAATTTCTTCAGACAAGAAGCACGTATTTGATTTGACTCACTGCCCAAATAATTTGTAATATCAACAGATGAATACTATGTAATAATATAAACAAGAAAGTGAGTTGAATCATTAGTACAGTTAATGGTAGTGATAAAATAAAGCGAAAATATCGAAGCTGAATCAAATATGAATCAACAATACATTAAACATTTATAACTAACCTGTGTTATCCACTTCAATAATGCAACAACCAAACGAGAAATTCCAACACTAAACGAATACCGAAGATAAGAGAATAAAGTGGTGATGTAATGGTCCCCAGTGAATGAATTAGAATAGCACTGTATACTAGTTAATAGAGGAGGAGTAATTGAATTTGAATTGCCTGGTTCAATCATTAATTTATTTTCCAAGTTAAGTAAATGATGAACTAATGTAAGTGATAACCAAACAGCTCTTACAGTTGGTGAACTACTATTATCCACTAGAATTGTTTTCCTTGAAATATCACAATTATTCAAGTAAATTGACATAGGGAATCTAGAATAGTAACGAAAAAAGTTTTCTAATGTAAATTCGTTTAAATTATAGCAAAAAGAAAAATTAAACACAAATATTTCTGTAATTGGAAGCAGTCATAAAATACCAATGCAATAAATTTATTGAAAATATTTAGTATACAAAAAATATTTACTGTGACATTTTGAAATGTAAAGTGAGATTTTAAAGAATAATCCAAAAATATATATTCCTGGTACATGTATATTAATATGCATACAGCGATGTTTAAATTTCAAAGCTTTCAAACCTTTATTAACTTTTAAAAGATATTACAGAACAAGTTCTCATTCATCGACTGAAGTGGTTGGGATATATTTTATATGAACCTAACCCCATCAAACTTGACGGATAATAGTAGCTGGCGCAGTAGTAAACTGGAAGCTAAAAGAAGTTAAACTAAAGCGCGGGATCAGTTCATGAAGTCACTGATTGTTAGACTGAGCCATGTCAGTAATGTGTACGACCTAGTTGGGATAATAAATGTTTGATGACATGGATCAGAATCGGTTAAAACTGCTAACATGCATCTAATCTTTCTTTTACTTTATGTGTTGAGTTCCATTATTCTTTCACATGTCTTTTCAGTGTGTCTTAAAGAACTATATTCAGTGTTGTTTTTCGCTTAGAAATCTTGCAAAATTATTTTGATCCTTCTGCTGTTTATCATTAAAATATTATCATGTATTTTCGATCCTGACCGTTGTTGCTACCTTGACGTGGTGGTCGGGCTTGCCTATCGTGATGAAGCAACTGAGCTATACTGGCTGGAACAACCGTTCCTCAAGGTCCTACCAGGTCGGTTGAAGAGCGGTAAGACTAAAAGCAACAAAACCAAGGTCCGAAGGCGAAGTCGTACTGCTGACTGTACAGAGGTGTGACAGCAGTAAGGTGTTTCCTTCAGACAACCAGCATGACAGCGATGCTGCCTTCCCACAAGGAGGGGTGAAATTAGAAAAGGTCGACCCTAAAAATGCACACCTCGCCTTATCCCACGGATATCCGTCTCCGGCGGTAAGGTCTCAACAAGTACCGAGCTAACACGGGAATTACTCATAAAAAGGTCGTGTGTGACCGACCTCAAGCAGCTGTCCCTTGGGCACTGCGGTCACGCTCTCAGGTCACTATGACCAACTCTAATCCAATTTCCTTTTCAGGTACCTCCAGAAGAACCCTTCCACGGTGTGGGCACCCGGGAAGTGATAACCGCCCTCATACCTCTAACAGCACTTAAGACCACTGTATTCATAGTCAACCTCCCTCTTCAATTCCTATTATTCCTCCTACATCGACTTTATACACTAAACTTCCTCTTCTAGCTTCCTCCTCAAGTGTCACCACAGCCAACGATTCTAGTGCTCAAAACACTGTCCCAGGTCTACTGAAACCTCGCTCCAAACTACACATTGGAGCCTTCAACGTACGCACACTATGCCAAATCGGTCAGCAGGCTTCCTTGGCTAAAACCTTAGAATCTCGTACCATTGATGTATGCTGTGTCTCCGAAACACGCATACAGGATCCTAGTGTGGTCATTCACTTGACCTCACCTCGGCAAAACGGAGAGCCAACGAGATACACCCTCCGTGTATCTGGCGACCCGATGGCTAGTTCTCGTGGACTGGCAGGTGTAGGCATAGCACTTAGCATGAGGGCGGAACAAGCGCTATTAGAATGGATCCCCGTTAACAGTCGTCTATGCGCTGTTCGGCTAAACGGCTCCGTAAGAACTCGGAAGGATAGGGACACACGTCGTTGCCTTTTCGTCGTTTCTGCCTACGCTCCCACTGACTGCAGCTCGGATGAAGTGAAAGATGAATTTTACAGAAAGCTGTCTGAACTTCTCCAGAAAGCTAAACGTTCAGACATAGTACTCGTAGGAGGTGACTTTAATGCCCAGGTAGGTAGCTTAAACAAAACAGAAAGACATTTAGGTGGGTATTTTAGTATTCCGGCACAGCGAACAGATAATGGTGATCGTCTGCTGCAACTGTGCTCAGACAATCGTTTGTTTTTAGCAAACACAAATTTTAAGCATAAGGAGAGACATCGTCTAACATGGCGACCCCTTGCACCAAACCAACGATGGACTCAAATAGACCATATTGCCATCAGTCATCGTTGGAGAGGGTCAATAGAAGATTGTCGCTCATTCTGGAGTACCTGTTTGGACTCTGATTATGCCCTAGTACGAGCACGCATCTGCTTGCGCCTCACTGGACGCAAAAGAGCCACACAAAAAAGACTCATTAGAACCGAATTGAGTAATGAGAAAGCCAAAAGTAGGTTCCAGGAACAACCGAGGTTACACTTAGGTAGTTCTGAAAACGAGACTGACCCAGATGTTGCTTGGAAACAGCAGTGACATCTACCAGTGATTTAAACCAAACGGTTACAAAAAACCAATGGATTTCGTCAAGGTCTATTGCACTGATAGATTCTCGTAAACTCATCCCATCAGGTTTTGAATACGATGAAGAGCGTAAAGAAATCAAATCTAGATTAAGCAAAAGTCTAAGGAATGATCGTGAGCAGTGGTGGGCAACGAAAGCAAAAGAGATGGAAAAGGCGGCGGCTATAGGGAACAGAAGACAACTCTACAGACTAATAAAAGAAACTGGAATTAATAAATCAAGTGTAAGTCAGACCATTTCGGAAAAAGACGACACTCTCATCTGCTCCCAGTCCAGATGCTTAGAACGATGGGCGGAACACTTTAAGGAGCAGTTTAGCTGGCCTTCAGCTACTCTACAACTACCCAACATTCCCAGACAGTGTGAATGGAACATTGAAGTAGGTCCTCCAACTCTAGCTGAAGTTCAAAAGGCTATAGCTAATCTGAAACGATGAAGGGCAGCTGGTCCAGATGGATTGGCCCCAGAGGTCTTTAAGGATGGTGGTCTAGTCTTAGCGATTAGGTTGACTAATATTTTAGCTAAAATCTAAGAGTTAGACGTTATCCCATCTAACTGGTCACAATCACTTATCGTCCCAATATGTAAGAAAGGGTCAAAATCATCCTGTGACAACCACAGAGGGATTAGTTTGACTAATATAGTATCTAAAATACTAGCTTCGATAATTTTCGGACGCCTAACTAAGACTCGTGAACTGCAAACACGTGAAAATCAGGCTGGCTTCAGACCTGGTCGTGGCTGCATCGACCACATATTCACCATTCGTCAGGTTCTAGAACACAGGCATACTTATCGGCGTCCGACAATGGTGGTATTCCTTGACTTAAAAGCAGCGTTTGACTCTGTGGACCGAGAGGTTCTGTGGCAGTGTCTGTCATTGAAAGGCGTACCTCAGAAGTACATAAACCTTGTGAAGGCTCTTTACTCGAACACTAGTAGTCGGGTCAGAGCCTATGGCGAACTGTCATCTGCTTTTGCAACCTCAAGTGGCGTCCGCCAAGGCTGTCCACTTTCTCCATTTTTGTTTAACTTCATCATAGATCTACTGATGGAAATAACACTCTCATCAACTGAATTCTCAGGTATTGATCTCCTACCAGGAGGTCCACTTATTGACTTAGAATACGCAGATGATATAGTCCTGTTTGGTGAAGACGCTGATGAAATGCAGAGTCTTTTGGTAGCACTGAGCAACAATGCTAGAATGTTTGGGATGCGCTTTTCTCCCTCTAAATGCAAGTGGTTGCTTCAGGACTGGTCTGCATCAACACCTGAACTAAGGATAGGGGGTGAAGTAGTCGAACGCGTTGACAACCTCACTTATCTTGGAAGTCTGATCAGCCCTAATGGGTTGGTGTCTGACGAAATCTCAGCACGGATTCGAAAAGCTCGCTTGGCCTTTGCCAACTTACGTCATCTATGGCGTAGGCGAGATATCCGTCTATCAATTAAGGGACGAGTATACTGCGCGGCAGTTCGTTCCGTCCTTCTATACGGCTGCGAAACATGGCCTTTAAGAGTGGAAGATATTCGTAAGTTACTAGTATTTGACCACAGGTGCCTTAGAAATATTGCGGGTATCTGCTGGGATCACCGGGTAAGTAATAGTGAGGTTAGACGCAGGGTATTAGGGAATGATGTTAAATCAGTTAGTGAGGTTGTAAATCATCATCGACTGAGATGGTTGGGCCACGTGTTGCGTATGCCTGAACACCGATTACCACGACGCGCAATGCTAACCGGTGTTAGGAATGATTGAAGAAAGTTAGGGGCGGCCAAACCAAAACGTGGCATCAGTGCTTGAAGACACTAACTTCTGGTTTGAGCCATGTTGGTAGATTCAGACTGCCTGGTTGGGGTCCGCGTGACTATCGTAACCAGTGATTGGAGACTGTGTGTAACATGGCTCAGAATCGATCACAATTGCGTCGGTGTATACACTCTCTGTCTTCCTTAAATTAAGAGATTAAAATCGCTTCATATCTGTCTAGGAACTAATTCTTTCTTCCTTTACTATCTCCTTATACACAATCTTTCTTCTATATATTACCACCACTGAATTAACTACTTCTATGAATCCGGTGTTCATCTTGTTGTGCTAATGCGGTATGGCAACTTGGACCGATGCATATACGTGCCTGGTCCTACGTTGCAGCTGACTGACTGACTGATGTATTTTCGATGTTACATTATTCTAAAGGGCTATGACAAAAAACTTCGTCAGAAAATTTTATTAGTCATAAATATGCATTTATATATCCTTCATCAAATAAACTGACTTCACAGATCCCTTGAGTAGAACAGTGAATCAACAGAGAACCTTCAATACTCGAGTATCAGAATGACAGGATATTATATTGAATTCGGTTAAGACAGACAGATAAACCCATTACCTGAAGCTAAAAATCTAGTCTAAGAAAATGTATTTCTTCATTGTTCTGTAGATATGTTTTACCGAAACTGTACAAATACAATCTCTGAATTTTATGTTGTGAATCAAAAAATACACCCACATAACTTGTGACAATCTCAACATAGTGAACGCTTCGTGTTATTAAACTGTAAATGTTTGTAAAATTTCGAAAGACAATAGATTGTGAGTAAAGTAGTATATACGAGAAAAGTATTCTGTTTAACTTCTATAAATTTCAACGTTGTTAGAGTATGAAGGGTTCTTTCAGGGACAAAACACAAAAACTTTAAACTTCCCAGTGTGTCAGCTATGGATCGCTAGGGTTAAATCTCTTGTCGATGATTTTAACTTAGATACACTTACGCTTCACATACAATTATCCTTCGTTATGATCCAGTATTGCGGGCAATGTAAAACGGATTGCTAATCTGAGAAGGTGGAGAAGATTTGTAGCTCAGGTAGATGATTTTGATGGAGTTTTGTTCTCTGAGCTGGATGGTTTGGTCGTGGAGCTTTCATCAGATAGAAGTTTGTGCTGATGATGTCGTTCAGAAGAACGATGAAAGCTCCACGACCAAACCATCCGGCTCACAGAACAAAACTCCATCAAAAATGATTGCTAATCTTCAAAATTTTTACCATACATTAGTTTCAGAAAACTGTCTTCAAATAGGATATTATTGAGTGAGCGATTTTCAGTTAGACTAAAAGATTTGTAGATTTTAACAATAAATTTATTCTATTAAGTCAGCGATCCACTGTCCAAGTAGCGTAAGAAAATAAACAGATAATTATTTTGTCCTTTTAATTTCCTATTTTCACGTATTTCTTTGGTCCTTTCATCTTTGTTTTAGTTAATATTCCCTCATTCTAGTAATGAAATGTAACTTTGTATAGAGAAATATCTATATCACATTCTGTATTGTTCTCTTTGTCTGGCAACAGTAAATAAAATCAGGTTGGTACTGAACACTGACTTCATTATTTTGCATTACTGATACAAACCATTTTCATGACGTCTTGTAAATGTAACCAGTACTCATATATACATTGTGGTGAGTTGATAGCTAGCCTTGAACTTACTCTTTGTATCAGTAATTGTAGTTATCATTAAATATGTGATAACTACAATGACTAATACAACGCGTAACAAACATAATAATCAAGCGAGTGACTAAACCGCAACCAATAATATAATACAGTACCATATGACATCTAACAATATTATATTGATCTAAAAACTTATTTTGCTGGGTAGTTATGTCTATTGATATCAGTTCGTTTAGTAGTTTGTGCCAATAATTTAACCGTGTAAGGAGTATGATCATTCATTCATGTTATATCACTCCACTTCGTCTATCGATATGCATTTCGTTTATTCACTTTAACAACCTCGAACATGTATCATCTTGATCAAACCTAAGAAACAACTTTTACAATAAGCACAATTAGGAATTAGTCAGTGGAGAACCATACACTAAGAAGTCATAGTAAATGGAGTTAATGGTTATATTTGACTTTAAATAGAATTTTTTTGTGCAGTTATTAAGGAATATAAAAACCAATCATTATTATATAGTGTAACAGGAAATTTGTACAAGACCCAGTTCACTATACCTCCATTTAGCAACCGAGTAGTATACCTAGCCTTTACATTAAGAGCGCAGCTTATATCCAAGTACTTAGTGAATGAGCTACATAAAGAACACTTTAAGATAAACACTTACCCATATTCAATTATTTCTGTTTGTCTTAATAAAATACTTTGATGAATTGATGAGAACGCTATCAAAGCATTTAATGAACGTGTATCATTGAGTAATAAGTGTAATGTGATACATTGGTAAGTTATAGGCCAATGATTTTCTTCAGATATAAATTTAGGAAATAAATGAAACAATGATGTTGAAGATGATGATGATTCTTGTTTAAGTTGTTTTAAAATCATTCGCAAAATTTGTATATCTTGTTCCGATGTACGGGTTGTCAATACATCGGTTAATAACATGAAACAATGTTCGGCTAATTAAAAAGAAAAAGAATTATTTAAGTAATTTATAACTTGGTTAGAGAAATGTTTTAAAAAAGTGGGACTTTAGTACTTTGACATATGTTGGGGATTCTAGATCCCCAGAAATCACTTGACAAGCGTCTCATTTTTGTGATTTGACTTTGGAAATTTGAATGTTATTTTCGCACCAAAAGCGCCTACTTTTACCTCCAGTTTGTATTTCCCACTTGGAAGGACCTTAAATGTCATTGGTTCGTGCCCGCTTCCAATACGTTAATTTGTGACGTCTTTCAGGGACATTTTTGCACTGTATATATACGTATGAGTTATGTGCTTGTTCGTTCGTGCATCCAGGCTGCTTGTGAAATATAAATTTCCCTCGACTGAATCTGATGTTCTCCTTCTAGTAGTTAGCAGGGTTGGTGTGCAGTGGGATGATTTAGCTTGTCCTGTTGTTGTGTTGATAACTCTCGTTCCGTTCGCTGGTATTTGGTGATATCGTAATCTCCTCAAACGTGGCATAAAACAGCTAGTCTTTTCAAAAATTAAACACTTTATTCAAAGTTATATATGTTATGTCTTATGGCCTGGTTAATTATCGAGATTAAATCGCCAATCAGAACACGACTTATACAATGTCAAACCGATTATGCGTGAACCAGTACGAGCAGTCTTTATAGGTCCTTCTCATTTAGCCCTGATTGTTGAGTCGAGAACACAAATATTAGCTTCGTCTAGACGAATAATATAGTGCAGACATACTTTGTTTATATACAAGCAAACCAGATCACCACAAAATAAAAAATAACTATCATACAAGATCAAGCCAAAAAGTGGATGTGACTGGGAGAGACCGTAACTAATAAATTGGGAATAACTTAGAAATAGTAAGTCGTATAATAGTAGTCAAAAGATCAAATAAATCTAATGATAAAAGGAATATAAATATATATACTTGACAGAATACATATACAATAACAATTCAAAAATAGTTCCCAGAAGTTAACCATAATTTGATCTCGAGAAACAACAATATACAATTATTATATATATACATAATTTATCAATATTTGGACAAAGAAGGAAAACTTTTAGTCTTCGCTACGTTCTAATAGTAATCATCATGTGCTCACTAGTGACTGGCTTCAAGACGATTTCCTGGAGTTCTAGTGAGAAGCCGTGGCCAGTGGAGTCCAATCCGTGTCGAGTAGAAACAGGTATCTACCTTAGATATTGGATGAATGGTTGCGCAAGACCATGGATCGATTGGAGTTAGACATTAACACCACTGGACGCCGGCTCAGTGGTCTAGATATTAATCGTTCGCACACGAGACCTAAGGTCCTTGGTTCGAGTCTCGCATGCGAGATCTTGGATGTGTACTGTTGAGGAGTCCCATACTGGGATGAAACGACCTTCCAATGCTTCTAGGTTTTCAATGATGGTCAAGCTTACATCGACTGATGAATTCAACTATTAATAAATAATTATCAAACTACATTCAATCTCAATAGTATCAAGACCGAATACAGAATGAATTGAATATTTGTTGATGTTTAATTACCCCATGATAAATAAAAATACAATACGAATGAAATCATATTAAAATTGTACATAACACAGTATGAAAATTTCCAACGTAATACTAAACATTGTATATAAAAATAAAGTATTCATTATCATATTATTAGATGATGCTGATGATGTCATTCAGAAGAACGATGAAAGCTCTATGACCAAACCATCTAGCTCAAAGAATAAAACTTTATCAAAATTATTTTATTTTATTTTTTATTTATTAATAAGAAAAAATTTATATAAATATATCACAATTTAAAACTTACCTAGATTAGCTAGTTGATCAAAATCTACTTTTAATAAAAGATTTCTTTGAATTAATCCGTTATTAATAGAATTATTATTGAAATTTTCATTACAATAATCTACTTGTGAACACATTATCATAAGATATTGAATAATAAATACAAGACATCCATGAATTAATTCAGAACATTCAATATATAATGGTATAATATCAATATGAATATTTTCAATAATAAATCCTGAATTAGAATATGCCCATCGAATAAAGAAAAATAATCCAGATATAAAATTAATATATGAAATAAGTAATTGATATTCATTTGTTGAATAATAATGATGATGATGTAATGATGTTACTTGGTGAGAATTTAAAAAATTAATTGGTTCTGATGAATTATAATTAAGAATAGTGTTAATTAAATAACAAGAATTAAGTCCGAATGTTAGTCTGTAGTTAAAAAAATATAAGAAATAATAACAACAATAAGGTTATAATTTATATGAATATTTATAATTTAAGTAATGTTTATGATATTTGACTAGTCAACTCCGATTGTAACTCTTTTAGGGCCACTGTCGATCATAAGCTCGGGTAAAGGAGGAGGGTTGAAAGTTGGAGTTAGCATCCTCATCCCGTATAAAAACGCTATTTTTACATGAATAGTTAGCTTTACTAAGCTTCCTATAGGTTCTTAACCGTTAGAGTTAGATTATGTAAACACTAATGCATGTTAACCGTATACTTGAACTTAACCTAAGTACACCATTTATATGTCTCGAAATCGAATAACAATGTAAGCTATAAATCATTGAGTATGATTCAGTGTTCTACACTGGATTTAATAAATAACGTCATCAAAATTAGTTCTGATAAAAATAAACATTGATTATTAAGTACTGATATAATGAACGAAATCGGTCGCAGTGGTACAAATGTATTAATATATTTTCTGAATATCCTTTAATTCACAGGTTCTTATGAAAATATATCTTATATATTAAGTTTTGACTAACTGCTATTAACATTACTGTTATATTTACTCTATTGTTTTCCGACTTGTTAATATGTACTATTATTGTGCTGATGTGGCAGTAGGTTCGTTTGGATTGATAGATACTTTGTTCACCGATTCATTGACTCATAACCATTTAAAACTTATATTTATAGATACTAGGTATGGTAAATGGATATTATTCAGTAATCTTAATAGTAGAAATTACATATTTTAAAAATACATCGTATTTTCAATTAATACACTTAAGTTTTAGTAAAAATTTTAACCTATGTGCCGAGTTACAACTGTTAAAATTTCGACAAATGAGTCAATAGATTAAATCTCCATTCACGTTCTAAAAGTTGATCTATCAGAAAAACACAATAACTTCTATATTCAAACACTTTCCTTCATACATACATTTCAGAATAGATATTAATGCTGCAGTCCAGCTATTCTATAAAGAAAGTAGGTGGGACAAATTTTGTCTGAAACTCATAAACCAATAGTGACTTCATTATACAATCATTTAACCAATCCAGATTATATGATATTGAATAGCGATCAGCCATATGAATTCAATGTAAACATTCATAGTACGATGAAACTTAAATAAATATATTTGTTAGTCTGACTACTACTACTTACCAACTCCAATTAGTATAATAATCAGGTTATTAAAATCAAGTTTTAAACATTAAAATAAACTAGCATTCAAGCAACACTGAACACAAGTTAATAAAACTTACTGCGAGCTTTGATTATTCTGATTGATAACCATACGTGGTATAATACTATGACTATTATTTAATACACTAGTCAATAGATTAATATTTTCCATAATTAACTGCTTTGACTTTAATGTAGGTAAATTTAATAACGATTGTCCAATTAAACACAATAAATTAGGTAATAACGAATGAATAATTAATTCATCAATTGAATTACGATTTGTTATTATTTCATTTGAAGATTTAATTTTTCCATAAAAATTTCGATGTACTTTAATGAATGACGATGATGATATGTTATTAGTAATATATTGAACAATTAAACTGACTTGATCAGATGGTATAATATTTAAATAACGTAAAATTATCATCCAAATATATTCAATTGATATTAAACATTGAGAAATATACAAATCACACTGTATAAGAAAAAATAAATAGAGTAATATCCAAAATAATGGGAATTTTCGATTATATAACTCATTAAATGTAGTCAATACGTAATCTGCTTTGAGTTAAACTTCATTAGAATCAGTAATACTATCTAAATGTTCAAACTGAAGTAGATGGAAAAAACTTTTGAACCTTTGATCAACTAACCGAACGTATTAACAATAAAGCGACTGTTCGGTTATGGTGCACATGGGCTCCAGGATTCTGAAGAAACAAATAGCATATGAACCAATTATTGGTCACCGGCTACCATGAGACTACATCTCCTTACGTTGTTCCACTGCCTTGTGGATCAGACCTTTAGGTCGAAGGTTCTGAGAGTGGCCCACTAAGAAAATCACCTGCTTCGGTCTGGGCACCCAAGCATTATCACAGCCCACACACAAATCGAGTGACTTGTGTGGCGCATATGCATTCGGTGTTCCTTTGTACCAATAATTGCATTTAAATAGATAAATAAATTGTTCTGGTTAATTAATTCCAGATAATTTACATAAGTACAAAATTTTTCAACCACGTAATATTTTATTCTTCTAAACGTGATTAAAATCTCTATAATATTATTTTGAACTGTAATGATATTTTGATTTTAGAGTTACTAAATGTTCTGGAACCACGAAAATCGAAAACTTAAACAGAAACTGTGTTGTGTGATATACATCTATTATGTTATTAATAGTACTAATTTTCCTTATCAAATCGAAAACCCTCATTTTTAATGGTATAGCCCAAAACCTGAACACATTTTACTAATTACATCACAGAAGCATACAAAATAATAATTTATTCACTATAGTTTAACATAAATCAATATTAAAAATCTCGCTAAATATAAATAGCATAAGTATTGAAGTGACTAGTTGAAAATATGAACCACAAGAAGCCAGCTCAACGGTCTAAGCGCAGAACACTTGGAGCTAGATCTGAACTTTTCGTATTCCATGCACAGCGGGTCGTGGGCTGGGTACTGCCGACGAATCTGTACTGGGATGAAATAGATTCATTTGGTATCATGGTTTTGTATACTATTTTATTTTTATTTTATTTTAACACATAAGTATAGGTACAGGGAGGCACCAAATACATATGCGCCACACAAATCTCAATTGATTTGTGTGAGGGCTGTGATACTGCCCGGGTGCCCAAACCGAAGCAGGTGGTTTTCTTAGGGGGCCACACCCCGAGCCTTTGACCTGAACGTCTGACCCACAAGGCAGTGGAGCATCGTGAGGAGATGTAGTCCCATGGTAGCCGGTGACCAACGATTGGTTCATACGCCATTTGTTCCCGCAGGATACTGGAGCCAATGTGCACCATTGGTTTGGGGTCCGGTTAAAGCGCCAGACATTCGCTTTTCGTCCTCTCATTTTTGTAAACAACACCCCCGCCACGAGAAGGCAGTGAGTAGGACTTCCCTGGCAGAGGCTGTATACTCGTGGCCATGTGAGAGCATTTCGAGAGGGAGAGCGGACTCATCCCACTCTCGGCCGTACCAGGGCATTTGGGGGCTGGTTTTGTATACGGTTATAAATAAAGCATTGAGTACGTATATATATGGAGCAGTCGATAAATAAATAAAATAAATTCATTCAATAAATAATCGTTTTAAATAAGTGCTTGGCTCATACCGATCTACATGAATATAAAGTTATCGAAAAACCTCAATTAATTAGCCTGTAATGCGTAGAATGCAGGTGGATGTTCAGTTATTCTGCATTATAAAATCAACCATAAATCACAATTATTAGTAATAATTACCTTGAAACAAGCGGATATAAACTCAAGGAGATCCAACAATCGTGTTAACCTAGTATAAAATTGAGCATAAAACTCAGCTTGAGTTTGAAGTAACTCGGAATCATATGACGTAGTATTTAATATTACACAAGCTTCATATTTATCCTTAGATGAAGCAATAGATTTATGAAAATCGTTAAGTGCCAATTCAGCTAAATAAATCTCATTGCCAATTACGTGCCACAGAGAATATTCAATACGCCATACAACAAGACCTAAGTCTATTCATGAATCAGAAGAAAAAAAAGGTTAGAAGCTGTTTACAAATCAGATATAGGCATCATGAAATACAATGAATTTATATTGCATACAGTCAGATGTGAATAGGAAAGGGTGGGAACAGTATATTTGCACCTTAGGAGTAAATAGGAGCGATCTAACAATTCAGCTGTATTAAAGCTGCACAGGATTTATTACTTATACGGAAGCATATTTTTGCATCATGCTAAAAATAATTTTTATGCGAATTCACAGGAAAGGTTAGCTGAAAACACTACGACTTAAAGGGTACATAAAAAGTGGCTGCGAACACCAACCATTAGTATCGCTAAATGTAAAGAAGTATAATAAAAATAAGCTATGAGGTTACAGTGGTCTTGAGTGCTGTTAGAGATGTGAGGGTGGTTATCACTTCCCGGTTGCCCACAGCGTGGAAGGGTTCTTCTTTAGGTACCTGAAAAGGAAATTGGATTAGAGTTGGTCATAGTGACCTGAGAGCGTGACCGCAGTGCCCAAGGGACAGCTGCTTGAGGTCGGTCACACACGACCTTTTTATGAGTAATTCCCGTGTTAGCTCGGTACTTGTTGAGACCTTACCACCGGAGACGGATATCCGTGGGATAAGACGAGGTGTGCATTTTTGGGGTCGATCTTTTCTAATCCCATCCCTACAGCATCGCTGTTATGCTGCTTGTCTGAAGAAAGCACCTTACTGCTGTCACACCTCTGTACAGTCAGCAGTACTACTCCGCCCTCGGATCTTGGGTTTGCTGCTTCTAGTCTTACCGCTTTTCAACCGACCTGTCTGTCATGATAGAACCTTGAGGAACGATTGTTCCAGCCAGTATAGCTCTACTGGTTCATTACGATAGGCAAGCCCGACCACCACGTCAAGGTAGCAACAACGGTCGGTGTATACACTCTCTGTCTTCCCTTAAACTATGAGAATAAAATTACTTCATATCTTTCTACGAACTAACTTCCTTCGTGTACTATATCCTTATATGCAATCTGTCCTTTATATATTACACTACTGAGTTGATTGCTTCTATGAATTTGGTGTTCATCTTGCTGTGCTAATGAGGTGTGGCAACTTGGACCGATGCACATATGTGCCTGGTTTTACGTTGTAACTGACTGACTGACTGAAGTAACAAGACGCAAACAAGGTTTCCGCATCTGTGATCAAATTTCGTCAGGCAGAAACCGAAGAAAACATAATAACCTAATCTTTTACGGTTATACTACGAGTTGAAACAAAACAATTTCCAAGTAATATGTTTTTTTATTCCAGAGATGGAAAACCTACATCTTTTGTCATTCGAGAAATTCAAGACTACAACCCAGCAGTTACGTAATTAACAAATAACTAGCAACGTAAAAAGTTGTTTTGAACCAAGTAATATGAGTGGATTTTCAAGTTGGTAAAAATGCCTGTGTTCCAAGACTTCGCAAAGAGTAAAAATTTCGTTGGTATATCTCCGAGGATATCGGAAACATTTCCAGGATTTACGGACCCCTCCGTTTAAAGTACCGACTGTACACCGAATAACCATGGAATTTTGGATGTCAGACAAGACGGTTTCGCTGTGGTTTATGCACGTGAGTTATCGATCCAACTCGTTATACTGAAGAATAGCAGATCTACAGTACTATAACGATATGTTCTGAAAGTACTGCAGTCTAAATCATAAATAAGAAAGGTTGGTTTAGAGAAGAGTTCTCTTTTCGGTAAATTCATTTTCACAGCTGTACAATCGCAAATATATATACTTATTTTTCAGGATGATAATAATTACAATAATACCGATAACGAACTTCTGTTAAATATGGTAACGGTGAGGTACCAATTTACCTGCTCATATGGAGCTAGGTATATAGATATTTCGATGCGTACTTTATACAAAAGAATTCAAGAACATGACCCGGAGTGGCTAAAGAGAGGCGGAAACGGCTCAATAATTGAACACCTTGTGAAGACAGGACACTCAATCAGCGTGGACTCGGTGTTCCCTATTTATCTTGATGATGAATACTTGAGCCCTTAACAACGGAACTATTACTAATTTCCCTGACTAAAAAAAATAATTTTTAAATACATTTGTTTACTCTACCTCACTGTTACCACATTTAATAGAAGTTCGTTATCGGTATTATTGTAATTATTATCATCCTGAAAAATGAGTATATATATTTGCGATTGTACAGCTGTGAAAATGAATTTACCGAAAAGGGAACTCTTTTCTGAACCAACCTTCCTTATTTTATGTCTCAATGAGTATATTGTGTTTACTGAAATCATAAATATTTGATGATAAAAGGTTAATTTAAAAAATAAACATACTTTTGCAAAGAAATTACGGATTTAAAAAATTATTTTAGGCTCACCTTGATCAATATAACCTTGTGTCCCTGATACCAAGTAAACTCCTGAGAAGATATTATTCCTCTCACGTAAAGTGGTAGATGATGAGGTTATTTTTGAATTGACAGTCATGACCGTTCGTGGTTTGTTTAAAACAACCTGCATGTATAATTTCTTCTCGATATTACTGGTAAGCTGTGGGTATAATGACGCATTTCGTGGAGACAAGTGTTTTGATAATGATTCAGTCAGTGGTTCAGCGAGGTATGGAACACGATTTATGAATTCTTTGACATGATTAACTAGGTCGATAGATCCCGACTTAATTTTAGTAGTGTTTGAAGGAACAAGCAAACTTGTATAGATACGAAGTACGCTTAGATCATACGGAAAACCTATAATTTGAATAAGTTTGTGGCTAATTAGCTTCCTCTCATTATTGGCATGAAATATAGAACCTACTGAAAAAATCAACTACAGCATAATTTTATACGGTCTTCAAAGAACATCTTCAAAGGACAGATGACAAAAAATTCAATTCATTACTTCAATACAAAAATAAGGCTTGATACAATACGGAACCAAGAAATGATCAGCCAAAGTGAGATGAATTTAGTGAACGAAAATAAAAGAATATTAACGATTACAATTCAAAAAGGGAGATAAATAATATTTTATTTCTGTCGATGTACTTACTCTTGTCTACTCATTGACTAAATAAAGCCGTAGTGGAAGCGCAGCAAACGTCGAATCAGAGCCGAATGCTAAGTTTTATGATCTCTAGTATTTCAACTTGAGCCAAAAGCCAAGAGATGCAAATAGAATACTACTGTTCCTCATACTTAGAGGACTGATTTCTTTCCTGAGTCTTCCATTCAGTTTCATTCGGAAAATTTGGTAGTAAAATCTAAACCACTGGGAAGTCATGTGTACAACAGTTCAAGTTTACCAAGGCTTGTGTTTCAAGATGAAATCACTAAAAGAACGTTGGTCTATACTGCCCTCAAGTGGACACTACCACTGGCATTTATGCAGCTAACCAGATGCATAAACTTCATAAATTACCACAAAGAGTAAGTGCACATACGTTCTTCGTCTCATCTCATAGAAGCACCTTATACTTTAGCCGGGAAACCATATACTGACTGGTTGTGATATGGGTAGCTTATTTACTATTGCACCGTAAGAAGACGTCGTCCGTAAAGTGCGATGTTTTTGAGGTGTCATTGGTAGAAATTTCAGTAAATGTGGAAATTCGGAAATCAGTTTAACCTCACTACTGGTTTTGAGACGATATAAAATTGATTGCACGCTCACATCCTAGATAAGGGGATTTTGTAGAAGACTTACTTATTGTGAGCTAGTTTTAAACGTGTTTTGCAAGCAGAACACCGTGTATAGTTTCGAATATACTACCAATATTTATCACTGGTATTTAGTTAAACTGTCAGTGATAGTTGGAAAGCATATTACATACTGATGGATGCAACTTACTTTCTATAAGCGATTCAATAAGTCCGAAAATCCGACAGCCAATTCTCGGGCCACTATCCACTGGAAAACCTGGAACATCATCTGAAGTGTCCGGAATTCCCTTAGACATTGGACAACGAACCAAATGGGCATTAGTTACAACAACTCGAAGAGTTTGTGAGAACAAAGTAAGAAATCCATCTCTGTTTGGATAATCAAGAGAATCAAATAACTGTGAAGTAGGAGGGGGATTGCTATCCAACGACCATAATGTGACATCTCGTGCTAGGAGCGTAACCAGATCAAATATAGCGCTATGAGTAGCCAAGCTAACGAGACTAGCATTAAACTCACTATATGGGACAGAAACATTGCAATCCATATGCGAGACCTTTTTGAAGAAGAAGTGTTGAAGCAATTGATTAATGTGAATCATTACTGCATAAGTATAAAAAACGCCCAGCATTTAGACTAAAGGTGAATGAATGTCGCTAGACTATAAGAATTTCAAAGGCTTATACAGGTAAATTGTAAGGAACCGCAACTTCTTCACTAGGAATTATCTTTCTTACCCAGCATTTTAAGACTAGGATACTTCTAAGTTGGTAGTCCGAGCAGATGCTGATATTTTGGAAATACTAATAATTAACCACCCGTGACTGTCATATCCATCGTTTGGGACGACTAATACTTAGCTTAGAAAAACTGTACATGTATGTGACATCTACACTCTAAATTTACTACGTAGAATTAAGCAAACACCGATGTTGGAGTTAGTAAGTGGAACTAAGTTCCTTCTGAATACTTCGCTCGTAATCTGTGAGTCAATGTATACTTAACCATCAATATATACTGACCAATCTATATATTTGAATACCTATACACTTTGATCTCTAGGTATAAGTATAAAATAAAGAAACTGGGTTATGCATTACAAACTCCATGTACCTATTATATTATTGCAGAGTTGAAACATAACTAAAAATCCCTTGGTCTATGACAATTCTGATAATCTAATTCCCTACGAAAGATCTATGGTACTGAGAGTTATGGAATTCAATAATATTGTAGAGCGATCACTTGTTCCAGGACACCATACTAAATGAGTCAACGTTGAGATATTTCGAAATAGGTAACTCTGCCTTAACTACCACGTTCATTTAAGGATAGTTAGAAAATTTGTGATAGTATCATACTTAGAATTTCAGAGGAACGTTGTTGGGGATATTAGACGGTAGAAAAACACAAAACCATCTTTGTCGCACAACAAACGCAACTCACTACCTATTAAATATGAAAACATGAAAACTATCCGAATACTCTAATCCACAAGCATAATCACTGAAGCCGTAAAACTGGGACTGAAGAATACTGGTGTAAAGCTTATATCGTACTGCGTTCTAAGTTATATCCAATAAAACGTGATTTAAATCTCACATGACCACGCGCATACAGTCAATGTCAGGGAAGTTCTATTCACTGCCTTCTCGCGGTGGGGATGTTGTTTACGAAATTGAGAGGACGAAAACCGAATGTCCGGTGCTTTAGACGGGTTGGTGGATACAGAGGATCCACCTAGATGATTTGGAAGACACTGATTTCAAACCAATGGTGCACATGGGCTCCAGGATTCTGAAGAAACAAATAGCATATGAACCAATTATTGGTCACCGGCTACCATGAGACTACATCTCCTTACGTTGTTCCACTGCCTTGTGGATCAGACCTTTAGGTCGAAGGTTCTGAGAGTGGCCCACTAAGAAAATCACCTGCTTCGGTCTGGGCACCCAAGCATTATCACAGCCCACACACAAATCGAGTGACTTGTGTGGCGCATATGCGTTCGGTGTTCCTTTGTACCATTATTTACGTGTTCAAATAAATAAATAAATAGATAAAACATGGGCAGAACTCTGAATGTTTTTTATGACTAAAAGCTTGAAAAAGTCATTTAAATAAGACACGAGATAGATAAAGTTGATATTTGGTTTCATTATTATTAATCGCTAAATGCTTTTTTGACTATTTTACATTGATATACGAAAGATTCAAACCAAAGCCAATTAATATTCATGACTGATATATTGTGATGGAAATAAAGACTGAAAATTCCGTGGACAAGGATTAAAGGATAAGTAACGGATGGAAAAATCCTGTTTTTCAACCCTTAAAATAGAATATTTCACATTTTGGGAAACGAAAGTAAGCGTGATATCGTTAGTTAATAATAGATAATTCTAAAATAACAATTGGTCTTTTAGGAATGAAAACTCTGGTGGAAATAAAACTATGACCAGTGACTGACCTGGGGTGGACTGAAATCAATACGATCTAATCTCCTAACCAAAAATCGAAATACATCGAGGTTCTGGATCGATAGTTGAGCACAGTGTTCAGAAATAACAGATATATTCTCATCAAAATTTTGCGACTTCGAGTAACCAGAAAGTTCGTAGGTTGAGTCAGGACTCGGATCCGATGAGTTACGAGAAACTGACCACGAATGAGTGAAAGCAGTTGCACAAACTGCACCGAATAACAACAATGGCCCGTGCACCTGATACTCCCCAAGATTCGATAAACTAGCTAGCAGTCGATTTAGCAAATTAGAATCATATAAGAAGTGAGTGGGTACTTCATCTTTTGAACTAGTGTTATTTTCTGGAGCCAATTTTGATTTAGATGCAACATTGGAATTTTTCAACCTGCGGTAGGGCAATGCGAAGTCATCGAGTGACCTGTGAAAAACAAAATGATTTGGAAATTCATGTGTGCAGAATATCATACCACAAAAATTGTAAGTCAATACAATATTGTCATGAAGATTTATGATAACGAAAACTTACAGATTCGAAAACAAAACTATGGAGTCCAAATTCGCCGCTCGAATAAGAATAAGTGTCTGTGTGAAACTGAAACAAACAAAAATTTATGATTTATTATCACATTATGCAACAACAAACAAAGGAAGGAACAAAGTTCTGAATTAAATGCAAGTTATTAGCTATTTAAATTTTTAGACATGATATTTTCAGTCAGCTACAACGAAGGACTAGGCACGAATATGCATCAGTACAAGTTGTCGTACCTCGTTAGCACAACAAGATGAACACCGAATTCATAGAAGTAGTCGCTTCAATAGTAGTAAAAAAACATTTCAAATAAGGATAATGATAAATGGAAAAGGAATTAGTCCGTAGAAAGAGGAGTATAAGGTAATTTTAATTTCACGGTTCAAGGGAAGACAAAATTTGTATATACCTACGCCACTGTTATCGATAGTGGGAGGTCGCATAGTCTCCTATCACTGGTGACGATAATCGCGAGAACCCCAACCAAGTAATCTGCATCTACCAACATGACAGACCAAAAGTTAGCGACTTTATGGACTTATGCCGCGCTTTGGTTTGGTCGCTCCTCACTTTCTTCCATCTGTCTCAAACCCTAGACAGAATTGAGCGTCGTGGTAATAGGTGTTCAGGCATACGTACCATGTGGTCTAACCAACCCAGTCGATGAAGATTAACAACTTCAACTGATTTATCATTCCCTAATACCTTGCATCTAATCGCACTTTACTTACCCGTTGATCCTACCACATACGGGCAATATTCCCAATAAATCTATGATCACATACTAGCAACTGAAGAGCATCCCTTACGCTCAATGACCACGTTTCACAGCCGCAAAATAAAACAGAAAGAACTGCTACGCAGTATACTCTTTCCTTAATTGATAGACAGATATGTCGCCTTCACCATAGGTGGCGTAAGTTGGCAAAGCCAAAAAAAACTTTTTAAATCCGTGAAGAAATTTCGTCAGAACCAAACCCATCAAGGCTGATCAGACTTCCGACAAAATAATTGTGTCAGCGGTTTCGTTAACTGGAAATCCCCAAAATTTTGATATGTGAAGTTTGGGTTGCGAAACGAGAATAGTTTGTTACAATTAAAAGCAATGGGTGAAGCCAATTATCCCATACATTATAAAGGATGCTACTACATAGCCCACTATTCAGAGAAAAGATGTATATTGGAAAAGATTTGTTGGAGTTTAAAATGCATTAGAATGAGTTGTAAAATATCCCTTATAATGACCACTAAAATCATTGCTAAATAAGTTGGTTATGTTTGAAGTGAAACTCAAATATCAACGACAATAATACATACCAAATTTGGTCCACCATCAAATTATTTGTCCTAAGATTTTTGAGAGGCGATCCGAAGGAAATAGACTAAAACATAAGTTATGCAGTGTTAAAAAATTACCCAGAACGTCTCCAACACTTTCTTAAACACAACGGGAGAATTATTGATCGCACCAGTAAGACAAAGGCCATGAACGCCTAGAAAGATAAGTTCAAGCAGTTCAATCAACTCCTTTAGTTTTTGGGCAGCGACCACACCAAATTGATTCGATTCATCAGCCCCAACTGTGTTACGATTTGAAATAAAACCCTGGAATGCAAAATCTCAATACTAATAAGATAGGACGTACTGAAGATGAATGACTACAACTTTCAATTAAAGAGTATGTATTTTGATGCTGAATGAGATATTCATTTAAAGCCTAAACTAATAATTTAAATACGATCAATCTACATCAACAACTAAATCCTTGCGGCTTTCGTATGATGTCATTGCAAAAAGAACATCAGAAATCAGCGACCAAGAATCGTGCCATTGGCAAACGCATAGCTTCAGAAGTCTAATTAGACATATGCGATCTTTCCAGTAGAACCGTCGAATGTCTTCCAAAAGGCAATTCGCTGACCAACCTGAAAGCACCTCCTAAAACAATAAGAGTACTAAAGAAGAAGTTACATCTATATGGTCATCTGGAATATCTTCAACAGCAAGGAAATGAACTAAAATTTCATGACTTAGAGATTCAGACAGATCCTAAGCTATATGACTATTATTGATTTACACAAACCAAGAATCCAGACATCCTTTTGACAAGACGTCGCACATGCTCTTTAGACACAGTATCAAGATTACTAATGCGGAACTTGTATTGATGAGAAATTGAACGTACCCAACCTGAGAATAGTACTTGAAGCCATGTTGTAGTTGCGCTTTAACACTTGACAGAGTAGATAACAGAAGTTCCTGTGAAAAATTCATTCATAAAGACAGATCGTACTTCATCATGATTACCACATACGGATAAGCACTTTTTCAGACCGAGAGAGCAAGCCATTTAGTAGCGTACACTTTCATATAAGTGTGCACAACCAAGGTCGAATAATTTCAATAATCGGTATTTCGGTGGTAAAGCATTATGAGAAAGTTGATTACTTAAATCCTGTCCTTTTGGTGAATAGTGGAGGTCCTGAATCTTTGTCATGAATTCTTTAAAGGTTTTGAATAACTCAGAAGAAAAACTCTTAGTAATATGTTCAGATGGTTAAGGACGGAATAGAAGCTTTCGATTAACAGACTTCCGTGTCTAGTAGCAGGGGATCACCAATACCCTCAGGCAGGAACCTAGGTGTATTAACTATAATAGATTTAAAAAAATAAATTGGTAACTCATAATAAGATGCTATCCTTAGTCCTTAAGAATAGATCATGTCGCCTCTTAAAAGACTCCTAGGACGGCGCTTGGACTGGCTCAGTCGGCAGCGAATTCCAGAGTTTGACAACTCTTAAGGAGTATAAGTTGTGTCTACAGTCCGTTCTGCTATGTTGTGTCTCCAATTTCTGGGTGTCACCCCTTAGGTTAGTATCGGGACTAAGTTTAATTACGTGTTTAACAGGGTGTCCAGAATGTTAAGGATACTGTAAGCCACTAGAAGGTCACCTCTAAGACTCCTTTACTCTAATGGGTAGAGGTTAAGTGATTGGAGGCTCTCTTCAAAAGGTTTAAATTTGAGTCCCCGAACTGATTTCGTGGCTCGCAATTGGATACGCTTCAGAGTGTCCTTACCCTTTTGCAGTGAAGAAGGAAATACTATGTTCCCGTACTCTAAATGGGGACGGTTAAAACTGTTGAAGATTGTGTGGAAGGTTCTCCCGTCAAACTGGCAAAAAATGCGCTTCAATGTTACCAGTGCAAGGTTTGCTCGAAAGGCATTCTTATCACAGTTAGCGTAAGACTTCAAGTCGTAGGGCACCAGGACTCCTAAATATTTTTCGACTCGGGGTACTACTAGAGAGGAGTTTCCTAAGTTGTAACTGTAGTCTGCGACGTGTCGCAGATGGACTACTTTACACTTTGAAGTGTTAAAGGTAAGTCCGTTGTCGTCTGCCTAACTTTGAAGTAGAGTCAGATCCTCCTGAAGTGCCTGCATGTCGTCTTGGTTGCATATCTCTCTCCAAAGTTTCACGTCATCGGAAAAAGGAATAAGTCTGACGATGCTTGTTGGAAGAGATAATTTATATAAAACAAGAAGAGAAGAGGTCCTAGTACTGGGCCCTAGGGGACCCTACTAGGACATTCCATAGTCTGTGATAAATTGAAGTTGATTCTGACCTTAAACTGTCAATTTTTCAGTTATGAATTGAGCCAATCAATTAGAGTTGGTTTGATGCCTAGTCGTCTGAGCTTATTGATAAGATATATGTGGTTAACCCTATCAAAAGCTTTAGAGAAATCAAGGTGAATGATATCCTCCTTCCGCTTGCCATCAAGGATGCTTGTCCATCTGTCCATCGCGGTCAGCAGGTTTGTCATAGAAGATTGGTAGTCCCTGTCCTTTACACGTTTTTTATCTCCAAGACAGTCCACAAGTAGAATGGTTAGCTCCAACTTGCCTTTGTGCTTGATCCTGGCGTCATATAGCCTGTTCGGTTCCCAGATGGTAACCGTCGTCTGTCGGCACGAAATGCTTCCAGAGCTGCAGCCGCCATATGGGAGGATAGGAAAGTTATCCTCATTAGTCGGGGTCTAGAATCACCGTCATTCTTGGCTAGTCTCGTCACATGTTGAGTCAGCACGTTTTCGAGCCTCAAGAACCGTTTGATGAATTCCCATTCCCGAATGTCATAGTTTGCTTGACTAGGGTCCGTGTAGTCCTGTACACCTTGCAAAATTATACTTCTTCCGTGGAAAAAATTCTCGCGAGATACTTTAGAGATTTTCTGGATGAGATTGCGCTCAGAATACTGTATGTCGGGCAGTATCCATCGGATTTCAGTAAATGACTAGCTAGCAGGACATCCTCTACGTCGGTAGCGTTTTAAGTGTTACATGAAGTAGCCTCGGGTGATTTTGATGCTTAGATTCCTTTCCCCGGGTGAGCCAAGTGGCCGTCAAACACCCTATTCTAGGAAGTTCAAGCTTTCTGTTCAATTCAACCCAGAGAATCCTGTCATTTTTATCCTGCAAACTGAGAGGAAGGTCAGGGTTGTCTTTGAGGTTCATGATTATGAGAGAGTCATCACGAACCGTTATTGCTTTCCCAGGTTTCTCTGTGCGTTCATGTTCAGCACCATGTTGTTTGGAGGCCGAAGTATGTTTCTGAATACTGGGCTTTTTGATGACCGGATGGACATTCTTGGGGGTAGACTGAGAGATCAAATCACCAGTTGATTTCCGTACGACACTTGGGATGTTTAGCTTAGACGGTAACGCTTGGTCCTTTTTAGCTCTGTTGAAGGCGTTGGGTAAAATACCTCACTGAGCAGTCTTTTTACTTATGAACAATATTTATTGTCCAGTGGAAATATACTCAATGTCGTCATATTAAATTAGTTTATCATAGGCCGAAATAACGATGTTGTTTATCACGTTGTGATGTCGTATCTGATACCAACTAGATAATACTATTAATTTTTCTATGTCAGTTTTTTACTGGACATGTATTACATTCTGGAATAATACCTTAAGTCATAGAGATGTGGAGATAGGTCTGTCAAACTTATTTCGTAAATAATTTTTAATATTATTTATTATTATCTTATTGAAAACCGCGGTAGATCTCAGTGAATAATGTCACTGGAGAAAAGCTTTTTGTGTCGTCAACTGTGTTTTGCTGCCTAAATGACTGTTGTCTTCAGTCTCGAAACAATATATTTTGCCCTCTGTTAGGTGGGTCCTAGTGGCGCTACGTTTGTTTTTCTAATTTTTTAGGCTTAATTATCTATGTTTAACTACTTCAAGTAGCATGTTTATACAAACAAAATTACGACAAACTTAGTAGCACTCTTTAGTTTATTATACTTAGAGGAATTACTGGTGTGAGCAAGTTTCGTAACTGGAGTGGCTTAATTTTTCATTTCCGTTTGTATGATTAAGTGTTTAAATCACATGATGGCCAGTATGAGATTCCGAATTCGGGGAAGAGGAGTGTTTTACTTCATAATTAAATACGACTGACCGTGGATACGCGTAATGCATAACCTAATCTCATAGTTGATTACTCAAATTTCCCATGATATGCAAGCAATATCCCTAGAATACTAATAGAATCCGAACAACATAATGACATCCTATATGGTACATTAAACCAGTCTATGCACTTGTCGAGCTTCTTAGGGAACATACGACGCGTCAAATATGTCACAACAACCGTAATAGACATCATATCAAATAAGTATGCATTTACTGAATATAATACAATGCTTTTATTTTTGAAAAGTAAGATATATAATAGTTACAAAAATAGGAGTAGAGTGGCAATGTGCAACAGATGCTCATAGAACGACTTGTTTTCGTCGATTACGAAGAATACAGAATAGGGATACCAAGTCAACAGGTGTATTCAGTAAAGCATTGTAGTCAGTCTTGAAAGAATGATTAAACTTACTCTATGAAAAATATATGTACTGTGACATACATACATTGAAACTGAGTGAACGTTATCAAGTGGCTGATCAGAACAAAACAAATCAACATCTTGTCATTTAAAGCAGGTAAGAACGCCGAAAAGAATACACCAATCTGAGTAGTGTTATTAGTAGTAGCAAAAGCCGAGAAAATAAAACTGATTCAAAGAAATTAACGTCAATACTTGGAGTATAACATAAATTGCGGAATTTAAGCACTGCTCAGGAGTCCCACAGTAGAACGAGACGGCTATCTAATACTTCCTGGTTTCCCATGGTGGTATAGCTTTAATTGACTCATGATCTCAACTATTAAGATGCATTTGTATTGAAAGATAACTGAGATTGGAAATATGTACTACTAGATTATGATTTCATGATTGAAAGACAGTGTTCGCCCTGAAACTGAAGTTAAATATTTTATTGATTTAACCGCATACTGTTGTAAAAAAAACCCAAACTAGGATAAAACGATTATTATATAATCGCTACTTTCCAATGATCCCTCAGTTAATATTAGTTTATGACACAAATAACTTTCAAAACACAAGGTTATACTTAAAGAATGTTGCACACGTCAAATAACCACGTTATAACTTTTTAACATTTCATGTGTTCCCACTACTTATTTTTAAAAGCCATTTCTGCATGTTTGCATTGCAGAGGAGTAAACACGCTCCGATAAAAATCTCTTGAACATAGAGCTAATTATTATTGTGGTTGTGTGTGCAATAGCTGTATTTATCGGTCCTTTAGGTTGAGAGTGAACACAGGTCGAAAGCTGAGTTAATCATCTTTTACTACAGAAATCAATTGAAGGTTTAAAATACACTCGGACAACTGGACTCTACCAAAAAGAAATAAAATGTGTAGTTAATTTTCAGTTGTGTCACCTGAAATTACCCGCTTTATTTATTTAGATAAAATTTACCAGTAGTTATACGATCGCTTTTAAGATTTAAAACTACATTGCAATTCATAAACTATTGTAACACCTATATCTGTACACCACGATTAATCGTTTTAGAAAGTGTGTTAGTTTTGACAATGCATATAACAAGCCTTCGTCAGTCAGCTGCAACGTAGGACCAGGCACATATATGCATCGGTCCAAGTTGCCTTCGACCTTACCGTTATAGAAATACAGATACAAACCCTGACTAATTCGAGTGAAAAATTATTCACGATTAAGCTTTCTTTCGAAATCTTCCTTGGAACCACAAACACTACCAGAGGAAAATTTACCATCGCCTAAAACGTTCTTTATTAATAAATTCGCCAGAGTTGAGAAGACGAAATTATGAAACAATGACATGAGGAAGTCACAAGTGTAAATCAATTTCTAATTTGGTATTTCTGTTGTGTTTTTTAGGCCAGCTAGTTATCACGTGATTTATTAGCCAATCGAAATACGACTTAGCAGTCTTTGTACTGTGTTAAACCAATGATGTTCGACCGGTATGAGCAGCCTAGTGTCCTAACCGGTCCCTTGTTCTCTTAACCGGTTTAGTCGAGACAAGAACGCCAATAACAGCTTCCAATATGCGAATCGTTTATTTCAAACATACTTGGTTTATATACTAGCCAAACAGACTGTATCATACCATAAAATAGGAAAAAGCATTTAAACAAGATCAAGCCGAAAAGTGGCTGTAAATGTAGGAGACTGTAATCGATAAACTGAACATAACTTAAGAACAAGGTAATCTCACTACGAGTTTACAAAAACCAAGTGAAACCAGAAACGGGTTGATTTGCATTATGTACAGTCTATATAAAAAAAATGAGCATTTGATACATCTAACACCATCTTTTACTCTATGATGACAAAAATGAACGACTACTAGCAACTTTAAATGTTCCGAGCACTATAAGAGATTATTCACTTCCGAATTTTGCGTTACAATCTAAAAGTACTCTTCTCCACTCTGATTAAATTATTCCCATATAATAGTTTAACCGATTTGATTTTTATTGTCATTTAAATGACTTGATCTCACTCTTTGCCTAGTCAACAAACACGTGCAGGTAACCAGAATGGTAAATCTATGTTTTACAACCGATAGTTTTGCTTCCTAATCATGTTATTGGGTCATTCCCAATGAAATTAACGTCATATTTTATGATGCAGTCGTTTATGTCTGGCACAAATTTCACGTGATCCAAGAATTAGTCAGTCTATCCATCGCATAATATTAATTAAGCCATTTGAAACTAAGTCGAGAACAATTAACCTATAAAACTGTATCGGTCAATTCGTACATCATTTTCACCATAGAAATATAAGGATTTTAGCAAGACTAGTAAATTCATTGTTAAGTTTAAATAACAAAACTGATTTGACTGTTATACAATAATATTGTATGGAAAGGGAATCATGTAGCACTGGATCATACTTTCTTGATAAATACAATTGACAAATTTTAATATGAGCAACATTAAATGGCCAGTATCTGGTTATTAAGACAATAATCAGTCGAGTTTTGCATAATGTAGCTTGGTGTTAGAATAGTTCAGCGTTAACATCTTTAAATGCTCCAAGTGTTTGGATGAAATTAACCACCTGACTGCAATAAAGTGGACCGAGTTTGAACATTCGACGAGAATAGTTCCTTCGTCATTAAGCACGCACATCATTAGAAGAAACAGACCCCGATTTGTGTTAACATCAGTCATTCTGAAATTTTGGGTCCAGAAAGTCAAAAATCTAGATTCGCATCTTCTTTTCAGCATTCATCATCATGAAGCATATGTTACCGGAGATTAGTGAATGGCACAATTTCGTGGAAATACGATGTGTTACTTAAGCGAGAATAAGTATTAGGTTATCTAATCCAAGACCAAGCTGCCCGAATAAATCTGCATTTTTGTAACTAAACCCATTAGGTATTTTTCAACTCAGCTTAAGTTATATAAGTTAATCATATTATAGATGTATAGAGTGAAGAGAAACAGATAATTGGTGCTTTCTAAAAGTTGACATAAACTGACCTGACATAAAAATACTCGTTTTTTATCAGATTGTTCTGCGATTATTACAGTGGTAAAAAAGGCTTGGCTGAACAGAAAACATCGTGGATTTTAAAAATTTCTAGTGATAGAATACACTGTAAATCCAATTGCACTCGACACAATGTATAGAAATTTCTAGGCTTATTGTATTATCTTTTGACTGAGATAATACACAAGTAATATAGTCATCCGCTAGTAAGTCATTAAAAAGCTCACATCTAAATACTTTTTAAAGTATAAAATGACTTCAAGTTCCTTAAGATATTTTATTATTTTTTTTGAATAAGTGAAGAACCATTTTTCCCATAGCTTAATTCTCTTTTTTACCTCACTCATGTTCGTGGTTAGTGTTGCTCTTTAATATCAGTTCATTTGGTGGCTTTCCTTAACCAATCGGTATCACAGGCGGCTAACAGTCTATAGTATTATTCCACATCACCAATCAATGAAAATTCGGTTTTATCATTTTAACTATTCAAAATGTTCATCATCGTGACTGTTTTAGCTCAAATTCATCAACCCGTCAAATAACTAATAATCTCAACAATTTCTTTATTTTTTGGTGTTTTGTTCTATCTGGGACTCATCAGCAGGATGTAGCAGGTTCTCAGTAAACAATTCACCTATTAATATAAACTAGAAAATTAAGGAAATAGAAAAAGTTTTGATAACACCTGATACTCTTTGAACAAGAGCTCGTTAATGCGACTCACTAACTTAATGAATATCGTCTTGGTGTTCGAAGTAACGCCTGTTGGTTTTCAACCCGAGGTACCGGAAAGAATCCAACTGTGCAACCAGCTTTCACTGAGAATCTGTAATCACGTGATTACAAAATAGTATGCTAAATAGTACAAACATTGAAATCAAAATACGGAGAGAACTTAGAAAGAAATTGGTGCAGACAAGAGTACCGACGTAATTGTAGACTACAGAGGTCCTAAGGAGCATTCACCATACATAATTAAAGATCAATTTTGATGGGATTTCGCATTTGTTTAGAAGCTAGTTACCTGACTAAACTAAATACTATGTAGGGAGTCATATACAAAGTTTCAATACTCATAGGTACTCGGTTTAGGTAGTTCCCCAACCTGTCATTCAAACCATGGATCTTTTATTCAAAACACAAAATTAGGTATGGAAAATAAACTAGACAAAGGAAATATAATAACTGTCACGCGTGTGACAAGTTTATTTCTGAAAATGAAATATGCAACCATTCATAAAGATTTGAGCATGATGAAAATCCACAGTGATTTTAAAACATAGGCGCTAGAAACGGACTAAGTGATAAATTGAAAGTCCAGACGATACAGAAAGAAAAATGGGGAAGCATAGAACATTGGAAACTGAAGCGATCCTCGAATTCTATTAATATTAGTGGTTTAGGACAACAAAGATTAGCAAAATTAAAGCAGTAACAGCGACATGAGTAACAACAGTAAAAACGAATGACGTAGCTAAGTTGACGTGTGCGTATTCATACATCGACATTTGGGGAGATAGGAGGTTACCTCATCTAAACAAGCTAGCGGTATGAGACCTTTGAAATAAAATACATTTGAAAGAAATGAAAATAAAATCAAGAAACACAATGAAAGACAAATCTGATGAGCAGTGTCCAAACAAGTGAATAAACTTTTCACAGACATATTATAGTTGTCGTTTGTAAAGCGTAAGCCTCTATAATCCAAGTTTAATAAACAGACATACAAAAAGTGAAATTTACTAACAGTTATCCAAGTCAGTTAAAAAAAACTATACAATTTTTATTGGCATACTTACTACGAAAACATATCACACATCAACTACCATTTTCTTATGCACATCAAGACCGCTAACAACTTCACAAAACTCCTCAAATGAAATCCGACCATCTCCGTCTTTGTCAGCAAACATGATAGTTTTATCCACTATTTGTTGCAATTGAGTATCTTTTAAGTTGTTTCCAACCATCATTTTCAAAACCTAAAAGATAATGAAAAGTAAAGGTCAGGTCAATAGGATACAAAATGGATGTATGAAGAAACCGGTTACGCGAACTCAGAATCCTAGTAAATTAAGTGAAGTTCAAATCACTAAGATTATAAATAGCCAGGAACAAACAACACATCTAAAAGCAAGCAAAATCAACATAAGTTTAAGCAAAAGATCATATCCATTCAAGTAACTATAATCCATGAATAAAATGGAGGCGACATATAGTGAGTAGTTGTAAGGACTAATTACCTTATTCTGACAACCCAACGCTAGTATAAGCATTTCCGACTTCTACATATGAGAACCTGCTAAGATCAGAAACAAATCAGTGCATTATTTGGCCCTTAAATTTAAACGAGTCTCATGATAATTTAAACAACCGACTTTCCTGTTTTTAGCAAACATAGTTTACCACATTTTTTAGTGCAAAGCATAAATTCCTACAGAAGATCTCGACCACCAGCTGAACGGTTATGGTTTGGGAAACCTGTAAGTTGTTGCTCAATAGGAGTGCATTGTCAAGGTGTTTTTTTAAGAGTAGCAAAAATAGGTTGTTATCGAGCGCTTTATTGGGTGTTATCCTTCAAACGCAGTTGACAATCATAGTGAACATGAATCCAGGCTGATTTGATAAAACCACTCAGTTTAGGTCCAACAACTTAGACTAATAAATCTGTCGACCACCAAAACGAGATGAGCATAAGACACACTAAGATATGAATGCAATCCCGAATGCTCTGAGTACACATGTGCTGCGACAGGTGAGTGATGTAAGATGTAGGTTCGAACTTCAGCGGAAAAAGGATGCTAAGTAGCTTATCGGTTGTTCATATCAGAATCCGATGTCAATTAGGTCTAACTTAAACTAAGACTCTCAAGCCTCACCATTCTTGGTGATTTCACCTAACACATGTTGAATTTGAAGTTTTACTGGAAAGCATCATGGTCTTTTAGAAAACCATTCATTAGAATACAAGTATAGTTATACCTACCAACTCTCAAACATAGTTTTATTTCTGAATAGTAAAGCATCATTCAACTGAAGATCGACAAGTTTTGTGGAAGTGTCTGTCATTGAGGTGCAGTAAGGAATTACATCAACCTAACATAAACTCTCCACTGAAGCGTTAATAGTCGAGTCAGAGCTCATAGTGAACCGTTATCTGAACTGATAACATCAAGTGATGTCCGTCAGCGCTCTCCGCTCTCTCCATTCTTGTGTAACGTTATTTGACATACTTATCTATACGCCCAACATTCTTTACTGTACCCTCGTGACCTACTTACGACTGGTTTTAACATTCCTTCGTTATCTTTTGTCATACAGCTTATTAACCGAATGATTTAAAATCGCATGAGTTAATTTCATTAATAGACTTCTAATACATGATAAGCATAGACGAGACATAAATGACTACCACAAGCTAATTGATTTAGCGGGATGATATTGACTTGTTCGGATTACGTTAAAATACAAATCACTGTATGAGAAAGTACCAGTGCAATTGTTAACTTGTGTTCATTTTCAGCCGGTGAAACGTTCTATGATTTTAAAAAAACGTCACCTGACGTCCAGAATCCACGAAATCTTATTGGGTATGAGATTTAAGTTCCTGAATACTGATAAGGCAAACTCTCAATATAGGGAAGCCTGAAATATTTGTGCCTTAACCCTGTACAAAGTCTAGAAGATTGCACAGAGAAAACCTTGTTAAAGGGTTTACAGAATACCCGAAACGCTTATATTCGTACAGAAACCAAAGGACTACGAAAAGAGGTGGCAACCCAGCATTATGTGAAGATAGAACTGCACCAATGGGAAACGATTAAGAGAAACTTCAGGTATCCTCTAACTACTCTAGAGATTTATATACTTTAGAAACGCTCTTCCATTCAGTCTGTACAAATCCTTCTATACACACTGCACATAGTGGCCATTTAAGAACTCGACGTATTTGGTCTGTTAAATAAGCTTGATATGGATAAATTTATGTGACCTGACAAATGAATCCTAGACTACTAAAGGAACTAGCAATTTTATCGCAAATCTGTTGAGCATATGTTTCGGCCTATTTGTAATTCAAGGCAGATTACCAAAAGACTGGGAAAACGCCATAGTAAGTCGTCTTCAAAACGTGTACGAGACACAAACTATCGATCCATTAGCATAACCAGCATAGTTGTTAAGATTTTGGAGAAAATTATCCGTAAGTTGTTTACGCACCTAATCGGAGGTTGAATTCTTTCTCGAAAGCAGCACAGTTTCGGAACAGGTTATTCATTTCTCACAAACATGTTAGTATCCCATGAAAGCTGATATAGTCTTGAAGACCAAAAGTTATCTATGGACGTAGCCTCCATTGACTTTAATAAGGCTTTCAACAGAGTTCCATACAAAAGATTGTTATCTACGTCAAGTGGTATCGGGATTGGCGGAAACTTAATTATGTAGATAAAGGATTTCACAGTTGGACGTTAGCAAGTAGTACGGGTTAACTCCAAGCTGTCTAGCTGGAAAAATGTGATTAGTGGAGCAACAAAGGGGAACCATACGATCAACAGAGTCAAATGCCGCCTTAAGGTCGAGAAATACTACCATTGTGGGACGTCTGAATGTGTGTCTATGTTCTAGGAGCTGACGTAATGTGAATATTTGATCAATACAACCACGTCCAGGTCGAAAACCAGCTTGGTTTTCTCTAGTCTGCTCTTCACGAGTTTTGGTTAGACGTCGAAGTATTATTGAAGCTAATATTTTAGACACTATATTAGTCAAACTAATTCCTCTGTGATTGTCACAGGAGGACTTTTGTCCTTTCTTATAGACTTGTACAATCAGTGATTGAGACCAGTCAGATGGGATTACGTCCAGTTCCCAGATTCTACCTAAGACCCCAGTCAATCTCGCTGCTAATACTGGACCGCCATCCTTAAAAATCTCAGGGGTAAACCTGTCAGGGCCTGCTGCTCTCCCACGCTTCAGATTTCCTATAGCTTTTCCAACTTCGTAAAGAGTCGGAGGACTTACATCAACTTGCCATTCAGGTCGACTGGGGATCGTGGGAAACCGAAGTGTGGCTGAAGGCCAGTTGAACTGATCCCTAAAGTATTCTGCCCATCGATCCAATCTCCTGGATTGAGAATGAATAATATGTCCATCTTTCTCTGCGATTGTTTCGCTAACAGTTGGGTTCCTAATACCGGTTTCCTTAACAAGTCTGAACAGTTGCCTGCTGTTACCTATTGCCGCTGCCTTTTCTATCTCTCTTGCTTTCGCTACCCACCACTGTTCACGATCTTTGCGTAGGCTTCTAGTCAGCTTACGCTTAAGCTGACTCCGCTCTTCGTTATGTTCAGAGCCAGATGGAATGAGTTTTCGAGCATCTATCAGTGCGGTAGATGCTGCTGAGATCCAGTGTTTCTCTCTAACCTTATGGTTTACCGTACTTGCAGACATCACTGCTGTTTCTACAGCTTTTCGGATGTCATTCCATGCTGCCTCGGGGTGGGTATCACTTACATGGCTGCCTAACTGTTTTTCTAGATGTTCCTGAAATATACTCTTAGCTTGACTATCATTAAGTAGGACCCTAAGGGGTTTCCTTGCAGCATGTTTCCTACGTCCAGTAAGACGTAGACAAATACGCGCTCGCACTAAAGCATGATCTGAGTCTAAGCATGTGCTCCAGAATGAGCGACAGTCTTCTATCGAGCCCCTCCATCGGTGGCTGATAGCGATGTGATCTATTTGGGTCCAGCGTTGAGACGAATTAGGGGGTCGCCATGTTAAAAGATGTTTTTTCCTTATGCTTAAAGTTAGTGTTTGCAAGAAACAGGCGGTTATCTGAGCATAGCTGCAACAGACGGTTGCCGTTATCTGTTCTTTGAACCGCGACACCATAAGATCCACCCAGGTGTCTTTCCTTTTCGCTTAGTTTACCTACTTGAGCATTAAAGTCACCAGCCACTATTACTACATCTGAACGCCTAGCTTTTCGGAGAAGGTCGGAAAGCTTTCTGTAAAACTCATCTTTTACATCATCTGAGCTGCAGTCAGTGGGAAAGTAGGCAGAGACGACGAAGAGGCAACGACGAGTGTCCCTATCTTTTCGAGTCCTTACTGTTCCGTTTAGTCGGACAGCACACAAACGACTGTCTACTGGGATCCAGTCTAAGAGAGCTAGTTCTGCCCTAGGACTCAATGCTATACCTACGCCAGCGAGGCCACGGGATGCAGCATCAGGGCTTCCAGATACACGAAGCGTAAATCGAGTTGGTTCGTTACTTTGACATGGTGCAGTCAAATGAATGACACTACTAGGATCCTGTGTGCGCGTTCCGGAGACGCAGCACACATCGATGGAGCGAGATTCTAAAGTCTTAGCTAAGGAAGCCTGTTGTCCTATTTGGCACAGTGTTCGGACGTTGAAAGCTCCTACGTGTAGTTTGGAGCGTGGTTTCAGGAGACCAGGAATAACATTCCGCGTACTCGAATCGTTCGCACTAGCGGGGCGAGGTGATAAAGGGACGTGAGAAGGGTTAGTCGTGGAGATAAGAGAGTTATTAGGAGGTGTAGGAAGGATTTGAATGTGACCAACTTGGTCTCGTGTGCTGTTACGGGTATGAGGGCTGATATCACTTCCCGGTTGCCCACACCGTGGAAGGGTATTTCTTGGGGGACCTGAAAAGGAAATCGGATTAGTGTTGGTCTTAGCGACCTGAGTGCGTGACCGCAGAACTAATACACTTGACACGTGATTGAGGCTCCTCCTATCACTACATTTAAGAGGAAGATCAAATGAGGGAACACCAATCCCAGGACTAATTCAAAACGACCAGTCTCTTGTCTCTACTAGACTCAAACTGGAGCGACAGGTCTGTAGCATGACACGTAAAACCCAGTTTGTAGAACTTTATGGGGATGTGTTGTTAACATGAAGAAGCTGCATTATTCCTTAAATGAGGCAAAAAACTTTTCAGAAGTGTTTAAGGTGACTCAAGTATTTAAAAACCTAATGGCTAACGCAACAACACGACGTTGTTTACAAAGATCTGGGAACTAGAAAGTGTACCAACGTCATGGAATGAGTCGATAGTTGTCCCTATCTTTAAAAAGGGTTCACGTTGTTCCTGTAACAACTATCGGGGGATAAGTCTACTTCCGATTGCGTCCAAGTTATTGGCTTCCATCATACTTCGTAGGTTGTTCAAAACCCGAGAAGGATTGACTCGCGAGGAGCAGGCTGGGTTTCGTTCTGGTCGAGGATGTATTGATCATATCTTCACCCTCCGCCAAGTGTTAGAACACCGCCATACTTATCAAAGGCCAACAATCGTAGTGTTTCTTGATATCAGGGCTGCCTTCGATTCGTTGGACAGAACTGTTCTCTGGGATTGTCTATTGAAGAAGGGTGTGCCTGAGAAGTTTATTAACATCCTAAAAGCCCTATACACAAACACCTCAGGCAGAGTGAGGGCATACAACCACCTTTCTCCACTATTCCATTCGAGCAGTGGGGTTAGGCAGGGTTGCCCAATCTCACCATTCCTCTTCAACTTTGCCATCGATGACATTCTGGAAACAGCTCTGACGGATGTAAGTAATGGTGGTGTGGATCTGTTGCCTGGAGAAAGACTTCTCGACCTTGAGTATGCGGATGATATTGTCTTACTGTGCGAGAATGCCCAAGCCATGCAATCCGCACTTAATCAGTTGGCAATCAGTGTCCGTAGGTATGGTATGTGCTTTGCACCTTCGAAGTGCAAAGTTCTTCTACAAGACTGACAGGATTCTAATCCTGTACTCACTCTGGATGGTGAGCAGATAGAAGTAGTTGAGAAGTTCGTGTATCTAGGTAGCTGCATAAGTGCTGGTGGTGGTGTGAGTGATGAGATCAATGCACGTATAGTGAAAGCCAGAGCGGCTTATGCCAATCTGGGCCATCTTTGGCGCCTTCGTGATGTTAGTCTGGCTGTAAAAGGTCGGATCTACAACGGGACGGTGAGAGCAGTTTTGCTCTATGCTTGTGAAACCTGGCCTCTCCGAGTTGAGGATGTTAGACGACTCTCTGTGTTCGATCATCGTTGTCTCCGAAGGATTGCTGGCATCCAGTGGCAACACCATGTCAGTAATGCAGAGGTTTGGCATCGAGTGTTCGGTCACAGAGACGATAATGCAATAGGTGTCACCATCTTGAAACACCGACTTCGGTGGCTTGGACATGTTTTACGAATGTCGTCCCAGAGAATTCCACGTCGTGCATTATTTGCCGACTCTGGGACTGGTCGGAAAAAGCGGAGAGGTGGTCAGTGTATGACATGGTGTCGTGGTATGAAACAAAGCTGCAAAGGGCTAGCTTCTGTTGGTCCTTCACGACTCCCTGGTTGGGGTCCGAAAGACGATGTAACGCAGTGGCTAGAGACGTTATTAGATATGGCTCAGAATAGAAGCCAGTGGCGATCCTTCTGTAACCTTCTTTTACTTTCTTCATAAAATGTGGTTGTATCTTCCTTAACTGAAAGATCTCTTCTGATTGTACCTTTCCGTCTCCCCCACCATTTTTCTCTCTCTCTCTCCCTTTTTTTTTATAATTCCCCACGTTCATTACTTTCTTTTCTCTTTTCTCCTTCTCTTCAAATTGTTATTGTTTTGTGTGGCGCATATATATTTGGTGCCCCCCTTGTACCAATATTCATGTGTTCAAATAAATAAATAAATAAATAAATAAATAATAACAACACGAAGTTAGAACTTTACTATGTGAGTTTATTGAGTTTAATGAGCCCCTAAGGGTTCTCGGTGAGACTATAATTTATGGACGACTTTTGAGCGACGCTAAAGTGAACTTTGGAATGTCCATCTACTTACTAGGGCTAAATGACGGTTATAGAGCAGTATGAAGAGTAAGGATTATAATTTACAGTTGATGGTTAGAGTTAGGAATTAGACTCATGGTTTTCATCACGAAATGGCATCAGCTAAAGTGCAAGGACGTTATTTAGACAATTGGGTGAATGAATGTCGCGCCAAAATCAGAGACCTGTTATCTTAAATCTAAATAATTCGTCTATATATTATAGTCTCGACAAGTTTTATTCATGTAGATCATTCGGTCTTTACAATGGCTGAAGAGAAATTTATGCCTTTCGGCATGTCAAAGCTGCTTATGGATTAAGGACTATTATTTACACCCTTTGGGGCTACAAAAAAATGATTGTAAGGAGAATGAATTTGTAGGGAAGTGTTCAAACACATTACTCGTCATTGTCAAATCAACGCTGTTTAAACAAGATCAGTGCATGTATTCAAACCTAAACATGATAAAATACCTTAATCTTCTACAGTAGGAAAAGCAGTCTAACCTGAAATAATTCGCCATTACTAATGTATCCATCTTTGTCCATGTCGTATATTTTAAACGCGAACTTCAACTTGGCTTCTTTTTCGCCCTTTACACTAAACTGCGACATCCCATCTATGAATTCCTTAAAGTCGACTTCTCCATTGCCATCAGTATCAAAAATCTCGATAACCCTGGCAACTAGGGGGTTTTGTTGAAGTTCAGGAAGACTCATGAACTCTTTTACACTTAAAGATCCAGAACCATCAAGATCAAGTTTTTTAAATCGTTTGGCCAAACGTTTTATTTCCTCAACGTCAAATGTAGAGCAAAGATCTGGAAGAGAAGCTTCATTCCCCATTTTTCCCTTAGTGTTCAAATGCGCTCTCTCAAAAACTCATGGACAACAGTTAAATAAAAGAAGCAAATGAGACGAGAGAATTTGTTCATAATATTAAAATGTTTTTGGAATGACTGTCAAATATATACGCTACTTATTCAGTCCTTAGTCTCAATATTAAAAATTGTAAATCAATGAACCTATTACAACCAACGAAGTATGTCGCTGATTGCATATCCATCATGCGAAATTCTTCAGATCAATTTGGAGCACTATACTGTCACTGCCATTATGTGCTTCTCTCCATACATTTTTACTACCTACGAACGAGAGTAACGACACCCCGAGCATTCTCTATAATTTGTCAACGTAAGGAAGGGATAGAAGGCAATCAAAGATTAACACATGAGCCAATTCACCTTCGACAGGTCTTTATTCCTGGAAAATACTGTCCAACTTTTAAAGAGGTATGAACTTCCAGGCGACACTGGGAAACAAAATTCGATGCCTAAAGAAATCTAGAATTAACAAAAGGGAAATAAATTCACACCACTTTTGTTAATATGGTGCGTACTCCTTCAGTAACAACTGCCAAGTCTCAGGATGTACTTGCGGAACCGAACTGAATCAAACGCTCAACCTCCTTAAATCGGGCTAGGAGTAAGTCGTACAACCAAAACTGAAGGATCATCTGCGTTTCTTAAACCTAGGAGACTGGCGACAGACAAACTTAAAATCACTAGAGCTTACTCCAACTGTATTCTACAACTGTTTAATATCCGTCCCTTCGGTAGCCAATGGGCAATTCCTGCCTACATGGTCCCAAAGAACAATAAGTGACTGGTGACCGTGTAGGGATTGTAGACCCCTCAACTGTCAAACCGTGACATATAGGTGCGAAATACCTTATGTCCAACATATTATCAATGGTTTACAGGACACGAACATGTTTACTGAAATTGACGTGGTCGGGGTATGACTCAATATCCCAGTAACTGAAGAGAATATCAATAGAACGACTATTACTACACCTTTCGGATTGATCAAGTTTTTACGCACGTTACTCGGCCTGAGGAACGTTGCATAAACATTTCAATGTTTTGTAGACAACCTACTTCAAAATGTCTTTTGCTCAAAAGTATATAAATGGTTTGTTGACTTGTATTCGAGAATTAAAATCACATGAATAACACGTGAGAGCGATGAAAAACAGCTACATAAACATGGGGTAAACTTACGCTAAAATTTCTCGGACGCAGCAAGCTCAGAAGGGTGTATTATAAAAAGACTATCATCCTACCTTGTATATCGGGTACATTTTACACTGAAAAAAATTTTCGACGTACACTTACCAGTTCATATTATTCCTATCGTGGACCTAAGTCTTAAATAAGCTGAAATTAATTATATACTCATGGTCTTTGATCCTTGTATTAACCAGGTTAATACTTAATAACAACTAATACTCAGATATTATATTTAGTTTAACGAGCTCTGTACCCACCCAGTTTCAAATCAAGGCCAATAGCTCCAGTAAAAGATAAATTTAACCAACTTACAAGCCAAACGAAAGGTTCAAATCTGTAACCCCTATGACTGACGAATCAGTGCCTGACAATATCGAACCTTTATCTACTGAACAATATGCGTATTGTCCACAAATATCATCATCATCACCTGATTCTCAAGGTTACAATCCGTCCATCTCTGCGTGCAGTATACCAACGGTAAGACTGTTTGACATAGAAGACACGATATCCACGTGCACAGTCTACCAGACAGAATATTCTACCAAGGCCTAAATCTAAAATTTCAGAAATTAAAGTCCAATAGTTTATCTCACACACACTAAAATACTGATAGATATAGTACTGACATCCGTCAGCTACAAAACTTTCTATCCGGAATTCATGGCAGACTTCAGTAACTTGCACCCCTCACACATATATGGGGCCTTGACATCGACAGAAATCTTGAGAAATTCATTAAAGCTAAGTGTATTTAGGATGTAGATCACCAGCGTAGATGATCTATGTCGAATGATCGGAAGCCTACTCGAGTTAGACGTGAGTGGTGTGACAAACTAGCTAACGTTGGAGTCACACTTCGCGGTCAGCACCTTACGTGGATTACCCCATTGACGTATCAAGGTACTATAGATGCTTTGAAAACTGTACAACACCGAGGACGTTATTACATAAATATATTAGTTAAAGTAGATACAAGAGAAGGCAAGACCACTGCGTACGTTCGACTGATGCGAGTTGGCTGTCCTTGACTTCGACGAGGATTGACGATTTGTTCGATATCCGATGACACAACTACCGGATGATTTGGCGCCATGTCAACGTCGTGTAAGAAGACGTGAAGCGATAGGATTGCACGGTAATTTTGCAGTAAATAGCCAGCCACAAACAGTTTGCAACAATAAGCATGACATCACTCCACAAATGGCCGATCACTCTATTGATCTAGATGAGTCTGTTGATCAGAAACGTTTGGATAAGATACAAACCCCAACTGTCACCAAGAAACATAACGACATGTCTAATCCTGGCTGTTTGCTCAGTAAAATACTAAGATGTGGGCCGAGTGATGACACGCATCCAACTAAACCTATACACTTGAAAATTAGTCCTCCTAAAGATACTCCACAATTTGAATCGAATGAACCTAAATTCGTCCCACAGAGACAACGAAAGATTCGAGCTCTGACGAAAAAGGCTGGGAAGACACGACTCACGATACCGAATAGGGAAATACGTAAGCTTGAACCCGACTGCTCTATAGGTATCCCAGCAACAGTGAGCAGGTTCTCCCAGCTGATATCGCATAACTTGCCTTCAACGCCTTTAAGTTGCAAAATGGGTATTGAGCTTCAGTATGACAAGCCATTTTACCCGCAGACTAACGAAAACCACCAGAGTACTGATCACTCCAATCACCATCTAAAGCCTAAAACGATTATTAATAATGTTAATAATAGGTTTCTCACTCCACACCCTGTCTACGTTCCCCAGGATCACAACTGTAATTACTCTCATAAATAAAACTTTTCACACCCTTTAATAACGACCCACCACATAAAAACGGCTTCCATGTAAAATAACAGTCGCAACTCTTAAAATAAATAAATAATATATTTTTAGTATCCCAATGAGTAGAAAATTAGATTTTCTGACGTTTCGTGACTTAGTGTAAGTCACTTCTTCAGAGAATAAATAACCAGTTACGCGCAGCAGACCCTCCCCACGCTAACGTAAATAGCTATAACACAGGCTACGAGCCTAACCACCAAGACCATTTTGTAAATAACCGTACACTTCACGATAGGCCTACACAATATTTTTTTGGAATACGACCCCTAGTGACACCTTTGTTGAAGCATATAGCCCAAGTTATTTCAATTCACATACAAACCATAAACTTGTCTTCTCCGTACAGTTTCCATCAGAGAGTACTCTCACCCTTTCTTCCTAGGTAAACTCCCCAATCAACTTCACTAGCACATTTGATACATCTCCCTTTAAGTCTAGCTGTAAAAATACCGAGCTATTAAAGAACATTCAATCCCTCACTTTAAACCTATATCACACTCGCGAGGGTTGCGAAGACTTTATTTGGGATACTCTCGCCCATTTTAACTTAGCAGGCCATTTGTTTAATATATGTCTTATCAATGCCAGGTCGATCTGCAATAAACAGACGGATTTAACCGTCTGTATCCATATATCAATCATCACTTATAATGATATCTGAAGCATGGACTAACAGTAATATTTCCAAAGCAAGTATATCTCTTGATAGCTATTTCCTATATAGGAGTGATAGATTGAAAGAACGAGGCGGAGGATGCCTTATTTACACTCACTCTAGCCTAAACTCACTACTATATGATATGCCTGAACTAAACAAACTGAAGGATTCGGTGTGGATTGTATTAAAGCCATCAAATTCCCTTACCTTACTGTTCGGCTGTATCTACCGTCAACCTAACGTAGAAATAGATGAAATAGCAGTATTATCGGAGTAATTCTCATTAGCATCATCCCTTCCATTCACAGGCAAGCTTACTTGTAGTGACTTCAACATGCCCGAAATTTCTTGGTTCCCAGCCAAGGCGCCGAAACGTTATGAATCATTTAACGAATGTCTAGAGCTTGAACAGTGGACTCAGTATGTCAATAGTCCTACCAGACATCAAAATATCTTGGACTTAGTCTTTACCAGTGGCCTCACCCCCAATACTGTGTATATTGGAAAAACGTTTCCAGGTAGTGACCAAACATTGTAATATGTAACCTTAATATATAAATCACAACCGGTAGACGTAAAATGGTAAAACTTCGTAGAAACCATCTCGAGGTTTATTGGAATAACTTCCACAATTACCTAAGAAGCACTGATTGAGGAACTTTCTTTACTGCAAACAATTCTGACACACTAACCAATATATTTTATCTCAACATCAGAGGTATCATCAACAAAATCGCACTTTTAGAATACTGTAGACCTACGGTCTCCAAAGATCTTTATATACCGGTCGGTACACGAAGACGTCTTCAAAGACATTATACTCGATTCCACAACTTTGATGACTTTTCAGTAACAACGACAGAAATATTTATACGTACAAAGGCAATAAGTACACAGAAAGCAGTAGCACAGGAAAAACGTTCAGTCGAACCTAATAATAACTCCTCTGCACTCACCATACTCCTTCAAAATAAACTTAAACGTTCCAAATCGAGAGGGAGCATATTCATTAAAGACAAACAAGTATACGAAGATCTTAAACTTGTTACGGAACTATTTAGTGAACAATTTTGCTTCTCACTAACTAACAAAAAACCCACTAAATAACTCAGAACCAATCTCAGTACCTTCCTGTGAAATTAATAATGTAGAATTCAATGCACAAAGTATCTCTAAAGTAATTTGTACATAAAAACACTCCTACACTGATGGACCAGATGGTATTCCAGCTAGCATGCTAAAACCTGGAGGTGTTGATGTGTACG